AAAAAGAAATACTGCAGACTAGATGGCTTATGAAACACAAATCTGATTAGATGTTAAGTAGACTTACTGTAGTATCATTTTTGCAATATATACATCTATCGAATTATAGTATACACATGAAACTAATATAATGTTATATGTCATATCTCAGTTAAAAAAAAAAAAAGAAACCAAAGGGGGTTTTATTTTATTTTTTTTTAAGATTTTATTTATTTATTTGACAGAGAGAGAGATAGCGAGAGCAGGAACACAAGCAGGGCGAGTGGGAGAGCGAGAAGCAGGCTTCCCGCTGAGCAGGGAGCCCGATGTGGGGCTCGATCCCAGGACCCTGGGATCATGACCTGAGCCAAAGGCAGACGCCTAATGACTGAACCACCCAGGTGCTCCTAAACCTTTTATTTTTTTTAAGATTTTATTTATTTGACAGAGAGAGGCACAGCGAGAGAGGGAACACAAGCAGGGGGAGTGGGAGAGGGAGAAGCAGGCTTCCCGCCGAGCAGGGAGCCCGATGTGGGGCTCGATCCCAGGACCCTGGGATCATGACCTGAGCCGAAGGCAGACGCTTAACGACTGAGCCACCCAGGCGGCCCCAAAGGGGGTTTTAAATGCTGAAGACAAAATCATCAAAGTCACCACCATCTGCTTATTCCAACACAGGAGGATTATAGACTAAATATGGCACAACACTACAGTATTTATCAACAAGTTAAAAGAGCTTTGGAATTCATTTTTTTCCCCAGATTTGAAAAAAATCAACAGGGTACTTATGAGCTTGCTGTGAACTGAAGAAAAAACTCTGTTTTTAGGGTCTATACTTTTAAAATAAAGCCCCTAGATTCATACATTTTACTTTTTGTGTCTTTATCTTACAGAAATAAAATCTCAGAGTGCACAAAGATGTAAAACAGTGTTCATTGCAACATCGCTTTAAAAAAATTTATTTCTCACAATTCTGGAGGCTGGAAATCCAAGATCAGGGTACCAGCATAGTCGGGTAAGGGTCCCCTTCTGGGTTGCAGACTTCTTTTATTCTCACAGGATAGAGCTAGGGTCTCTGTCCTCCTTTATGAGAGCACTAATTGCATTCATGAGGACTCTCCTCATGACCTAACTGCCTCCTATAGGCCCCACCTCCTAATACCATCACTTTAGGGAGTAAGTTTCCAACATATGAATTTTCCGGAGGGGTAAGGGTGGGGACACACAAACATTCAGACCATAGCAAATGGTCATTTAAGGAGAAAAACATAACAAATCTAAGTGTGTATTCCATAATAATGGAATGTCAAAGTACATGAAGCAAAAATAGAATTAATGGAAGAATTAGGAAATCACACAATCAATATATCTTGGGCAATGGGACCAGGCTACAGCTCTTAAATAAAGACCAGAGGTGAGCTGACCCTGATCAGGTTCCAAGAACCTAAGGTCAGAAACACAAATTCCTATTGTGCTCTAATTCCTTGTGTGGGGCCCAAATGAGCTACAAACTGTCTGAGAAGAGCTGAGAAAGATGGTATTCACATATAGCTTTCCTCTTGCCTGGTCATACAGGCTGAAAGCCTTATTCTGCTTTATCCATTTGGCACAAATACACCCAGAACATGTGTATCATGTAAGCTCAAATAGAAAAAAGCAATAACAATGACTTTTCAATGTTGGGGTTTACTTCTTGTAAAATGTTTAGACCCTGTGTATCCAGGAGCCAAGGAAACTGTGGAAGTATAAAACTATCTGTCTTGGGCCCTCATGTCTTCCAAAATGGTATCTCAAAGCTAGCCAGCCCCGTCTACCCAGGATTTCCAGTAGGATGGACACAAGGACCCTCACCCCTTGTTCACAGAGTAAACATTTGTTGGTTGTTCTCAGCCTCTCGTAACTCTTCCTTTTTCTGACTTCCTTACCTCTCTCTGATCTCCCTCCTCTCCTGCCTTGTTGGTTTTGACGAAACGCCCTCCCAAATGCCACCGTCAACCCATGACTCCTGCCCACAGTGACTGGTGGTAGGTAAGCAGTTTCTATTTTGAGGGGTTTTGTTGTTTCTGATGTGGAGCCACTGCTAGGGTCAACATTGGAAGAAGTTCTCCGCCATATGATGATTACCACAAGGAGCACATGTTCTAAATTATCAAATTAAAGGTCCCGAAAGTGAAGACAGTCATTTGACAAATTACCTAGATAAACTAAGTGGAGGTCCCTTAGCCTTTTACAAGCTGGTTGACATGGGGGTACATCACTTCATCTCTCTTGACTTCCATAAAAGAAGACGTTGAAGAGGGTCCCCCAGCTATGAGCCAAGGGCTGGTTACATCATAATCACCTGGGACCATTGTTAAAGATTCATGTTCCCACACTGTACCACAGTTCTGTATCAGTCTCCCAAATGGGAATGTTATGTATGTGTCCTTAGCAAACAACCCAGATGATTCCGATGGGCACCTGGGTTTAGGAAGCACGGCAGTAGATGATCTCTTCCGACGCTAAGAGGTCACTGAGCCCGCTGCTATATTAGCCAGGTTTGGGTGGGGCTGGACCTGGTGGAGGTGAGGGAATGCCAGACCTGTCTCAGGGTGTGTGTTTGCGGGGACCCCAGGGAATCTAAGGAGGAGACAGTTACCAGCTTTCCCGCCTGGCATGGCGCAGGTTCTCTGCTACCTGTCTTCTGTTCCTACTATGGGAAGGTAGCACATACCACGGCTCTACTGGTCCAAACCATAGTTTTCTGCTCATCCAGAGATTCTAGAAATAGAAGTCCAAATCCTGCTTCCAGGCTTTTGTAGGGGTGGAGAAAAGCAGAGTGCTTGGGGAAAGGCTGTTGTCAACAATGAAGTGGTAATGTCTTCCTTGGGGTGAGTTTTCCCCTGTCCCTGCCTCAGGCTGCAGTGGTGCAGTCTGTTACCTTGGAGACCAGCTAACACTTCCTGGCAGGGCGAGTGACTCTGTTGAGTTGCTTGGAGGAGCTTAGAGGAGGTGGGAACCAGGAAAAGCAGAGCCCTGGGATGACCAGGGGCCCCTCTCCCAAAGATGGAGAAATAAATGGAGAAATGCAGGTGAGAGTGAGTGTCACAGGGTTGGCAGGATGGTAAGAGAGGGTGGGGCACACCCAGACGCCAAGCTCTGGAGCGAGTGTGAAAGAGGTTTAGGGAGCCTGGGCCCGTGGGCCTCTGCTCCCTACATGCCAGGCGCTGTGCTGGGTGCTGGGGGTGCAACCGCAGACAAGGAAGTAGCGGGGCTGCTCCGGATACAACTTGGTATGAGGCAGCCCCGGGGGCAGCAATAGGAGGAAATTATTTTCTTCCTGGGGGTTGGAGGGCAGCAAATGGGGTTCAGGAAAGACTTGCTGGGTTTTCTTGTCAAATGAAAAGGGCTAAGGGTGTTTCTAGAAGCAGGTCCAATTTGAACAAAGAAGGGTATGAAATAGTAAGGTGCTTGTAAGTAGGAGTTGCCAGGGACCATAGACGGGTAGGAGGTAAGGGGGAGGAGTCGGCAAGAAACAGGTCCTGAAAAGAACGGTAAACATTGCAAGGAAGGTTCAGCTTGATGATCCACGGCACTGAGGAGTCATGGCAGGTTCTAAACAGGTGGAAAACTCTGCATGTCAGAAAGATCATCCTGGCAGCAGAATGTAAAATGGATTGGATGGGGGCAAGACTTAGATTGTTTGGCCATTCAAAATACAAACCCTGGGGATGGCTTTATCCCGGGTGTTCAGGAGAATCCAGCTATTAGCAAACCAAGAAGTTAGCTGGAGGTTTTCTCTTATCTATCCACTAACCAGGGCTACTACCTCTTGCCCTTTGACCGTGATGCCATCTCCTAGGGGCCAGCCTACATATTCTCTTCCCCACCGGAGCCCAGCCCCAGAGCAACGTGGCCCAATTTTGTCTAAACTCTAGGTGTGCCCTGAGCGCACTTACTCAACAAATATTTTTTGAGCAGTTACTAAGTTCCAGGCACTGACTACGCAAAAGTCTTCTAGCAGTGACCATAACTAAGTCCCTGCCCTCAGGGATCTTACTCTTAGTGGGTTGATGGGTGGGGGAGAAAGGTGGTAAGTAAGTAAATAATGTAGTACTTCAGATGATAAAACAAACCACATTCTGGAGAAAACAAAGCAGGGTGGAGGGTTACTATTTGAGATGGGGTAATCAAAGAAGCCATCTCTAAAGAGGTTTCGTTTGAGCAAAGACAGGAGGGTAAGGGCTGTGTCCAGTTCATCTCTGCCTCCCCAGTACCAGCTCTTTCTAGCACCCAGAAAACATCCTAAAAATGTTCACGGGATGAGTGATCGTTTATATGTCCTATGCCAAAGCGCTTGAAGAAGCAGCACATTCTTCTAACGCTGTTCTGCATTTCTATAGTACTCTGTATTTACAAAGCTCTTTGACATTCTCAGTGTCGGGGTTCAGTCTCTTGATGACTGTGTTGAAGTAGGCAGGGCAGTTACTAGGACCCCCCTTCCATTCTGCAGAAGAAGAAACCCAAGGTCCAGTGCTTTCTAGAACACCACGTTGTGCCCTGAGTTTTATGCCAACCACACCCTCCTCCTCCAACAGCCACACCAGTCACCCTAGAATCCAGTCGTGCAGGCCTCTGAATTCATTAGATTGTTAATCACTCACTGAAAAGAGGGAACTGGGACACTGTGGGGCATCCAGTGTTCACGAGGCATTTCTAGTTCAACAGTCTCTGCCCCTGGTCTCTCAGCCAAGCATCCTGAAGGAAAGCCAGTTGTTTTTTAAACATTTTTTAACATTAACAACATTGCCAGATTATCTTGGTGCTTCCCAAAAAACAAAGCATCCTCTGAGTAAAAGATTAAAGACCCCAGAGAGAAAAGCAAGTTGCACCATCATTAGGCTATTTTATTTAATGATTTCGTAAGAACACACACTCATTTTTCAAGCTGCAACCCCCGAGTCTCTCACTTGCTGTGTCTTAGCCAATACTTTTTTGGTTGCAAGTAATAGAAACCTAAATGAGCTAACTTAAGCAGAAAGATGGAGGATTATAAGGAACAGGGTTTTTCGTGGAACCCAAGAGCAGAAAGTAAAGGTAGTTCTCACAAATGCCTGAGATCAGCATTTAGATATTCAAGAACCAAGGCAGGGGTGCCTGGGTGGCTCAGTTGGTTAAGTGACTGCCTTCGGCTCAGGTCATGATCCTGGAGTCCCTGGATGGAGTCCCGCATCGAGCTCCCTGCTCGGCAGGGAGTCTGCTTCTCCCTCTGACCCTCCCCCCTCTCATGTGCTCTCTCTCTCAAATAAATAAATAAAATCTTAAAAAAAAAAAAAAAAGAAGAACCAAGGCAGTTTCTCAACCTCCTCCTCTCCCTTCACCTCCCCTCCCCCAAATGTGTATCACCTACCAGTTCCTGCTCTGTTGTAACTTACAGTCTAATGGGAGAGAGACACCAATTTTTAAAAATCACACTAAATAATGTATCATTCTAAATTAAAAGTATTCTGAAAGAAAGGAGCACAGTTCTGTGAGAGTTTACATAACACTAAAGGAACCTGAAATACAGTGGGAGGGTGAAGAACAGTTCCCTGAGAAAGTGACACACTGAAATATCAAGAATGAGTTGAGGGAGGGGGAGGGGATGTTCCGGAGCAAAGACAGCACGTGAAAAGGCCCTGTGGTTAAAGGAACTGCCTAACATTCTAGGAATTGAAGGGAGGGGTCGTGGAACACAGAATGGGGAGCAGGGGGGAACGGGGAAAAGCTGGAGAGGTAGGTAGGCAGCAGCCCAATCATGAAAGACCTCAAATGCCATCCAAAGGATCTTAGTCTTCATCCTAGAAATGAAGGGAGGGCTTTGAATCATTTGAACCAGGAGGGAGAAGAGGGGGTGTGATGTTGGGTTTGTATTTTTAAAAGATCACTCTGGCTTCAGTGAGAACAGACTGGATGGGAAGGGTCTGAGGGAATGTGGGGAGGCCAGTTAGGGTCTACTACAGTTGTCTATGGCAGAGGTGACAGTGGCCTGGACAGAGAATGTCACTGGAGACAGAGATAAGTGGAGAGATTTGAGAGGGGGAAAATTAACAAGAGTAGGTGATGGATTGGATATGGGAAATGAGGTGTCAGGAGTAATTCCCAGGTTTCTGACTCATATAAGTAATGGAGAGTGGCTCTTTTCTCTGAGCTAGGAAACACTGAAAAGAGGATAGGTTTGTAGGGAATATGAATTCAGTGTTGGACATGCTGAGTTTGAGGTACTCCAGATGGAAATATCCAGTGCCGATGAATTCAGTCTGCCATCAGAGTGGGAGGTCCAGATTTTTGACGTGCCACTGGGAGTCACTGATGTGTGTACATGGTAGTTGAGGCCATGGACAGGGAAGGATAAGACTGCCTAGGAAAAGAGGATAGAGAAGGGTAGAGAGGGCACAATTTATCCTTGAGGAACACCGACTTAAAATGCTCGGGTAGAGGAGAATGAGTCTGGAAGGGAGACCAGGAAAGAGCCAGCAGAGAGGGAGGAAAAGGGTGGGAGAGAATGGCCCCAGGGGAACCAAGGCAGGGAAGGACCACTTACTCCCCTTTATCTGAAGACAGGCTTTTGCCGCTTCTGAATGTACGTGGGGGCCCCATAGCTCTTAATTCCAAATTCCCAGGTGGATCCATCTTGTTCCTGTCCATTGCTGACTTTAAACTGTAAGGAGTAGGCTACAGGGTCCCCCCTTTGAGCGCAGATGTCATTCACAAAGAAAAGAATTTAACCTCATCTCAGTATTCCCCCACCACCACCCTTAAAATCGTTATGGTCATTGGTTGCCCTCTCCACACAGTCCAGCCCTCACCATACTCTTTAACATGGCCACCTCCTTTCTGTCCTTCATGACAGTCTAAGCTCAAGGTCAAGCTTTCAGCTGACCACCTTAGCTAAAACAGATCCCTTTCCTGATAACTCTCTATCGTATCATCCTGTTCACATCCTTCTTAGCACTTGCCACGATTTCTATATAGACTATATTTAATTTTTTTTAACATCTGTCTTCCCCCACTCTAGCTCAGTGGTTCTCAGCGGGGGACAACTGTGTCCCTCAGGAGATGTTAGGCCATGTCTAGAGACATTTTTGGTTGTCACAACTTGGGAAACTGGCATCTAGTGAGTGGAGGCCAGGGATGTTGCTAAGCATCCCACAACGCACAGGACAGCCTCCCAACCAAGAATGACCCTGCCCAAAATGTCAAAAATGCTAAAGTTGAGAAGCCTCTGTTCCCTTGTTCACCATCATATCCTCAGCACCTCGCACAAAGCCTGATACCTAGGAGGTGTTCGATAAGCATTAGTGAATGAACGACAGAAGAGTTGAGATAACTATAGATACCCCCAAAGCTGTGGTCTCTATACTGCATTTATCTTTCTCTTTTCTGGTGTTCCTTTTCTCCCTAGGAAAATAAGCATTGGGTGTTTTTATAATGGCTACACATACTAGTCCTCTCTGCCATGGCCAAGATAATACGTTTCTGGAAGATCATTGGTAAGCATCCTCTCTGATTTTTCAGATGAAGACAACAGCAAAAACTTGAGGGGGGAGATGCCTGCCTCAAAGCGAGACTGGATAAATGGTCATGGCATCATCTTATGCCCGAGGACTTCCATTTTCTCACTACCAAAACGGTAGAATAAAATGTCTTAAGAACCTGGGGTCCACCTTTTATCAGAACTCTACAGGACCCCTTCCCAGTTGGCTCTGGAGACCCTGGCAATGTGGAGGCAAGGTCTAGTGCTGGGACACTGATCATCCACTCACTGTGTGTTTTGTAGTGTGAGGAGAAACAATGACAGAGATCCAAAGAAGCAGTTGGACCAGAAGGACATCCATGGACTTGGCCAAAAGCCAGACAATGGACTACTGGTTACACATGTTAACCAGACACAAGACTTACTGGTAAATACAACAGTGCTTTAACTGAGTCACAGTGCTTACAAATCATAGTCAGGGAATGCAGAATGTGTTAAACTCTGGGTGTTTCTTTTGTTTTTTTTTTAAGATTTTATTTATTTATGAGAGAGAGAATGTGTCTGAGAGAGAGAGCATGAGCGGGGGATGTGGGGGCAGAGGGAGAAGCAGACTCCCCGCTGAGCAAGGATCCTGACCCGGGGCTCCATCCCAGGACCCTGAGATTACAACCTGAGCCAAAGCCAGACACTTAAGGGACTGAGCCACCCAGGCACCCCACTCTGGGTATTTCTTTCTTCACATAGGCTCTCGGGATAGAAAACGATTAGTTAAACATTCATCTCTAATCCTCTGCCTTTAGAAATGACAGGAATCCCTATGCTGTTTATATAAATTTTATAGTCTTCTTGGCTGTATCATTAAACATTCAGGAGTATATGAAGACTGTCTGTGTTACCAAAGCCTGAAGACTAGGGAATGTAAATTCTAAAATTTCCCTTTCTGAGATTTGTCTTTCTTTTAGGGTTCCCTAAAACCTAGATCCAAAAATCAGTTTCAGGAAGTGCTATCAGAGCAAGAGCATCGTGGCAAGAGAATTAACTTCTAGAATAACCACAACTGTGGTTTTAGGCTGACTCTCAATGTGTCAGTGAGCTGTTTTCTTTCCCACGATGGTGGGTGGGTGGTCTAGAACTCAGAATTCATTCTACCATAGAAACTATTGTGATCAGGAGTAGTTAGGGGCAAGCCTGGCCTATAATCACCCACCTAATCTACATGAGAGTTTAAAAATGGTATCTTTGAGATGACAATCTGTCAAAAACAATACAGTTTTAGGGGACGCCTGGGTGGCTCAGTTGGTTAAGCAACTGCCTTCGGCTCAGGTCATGATCTTGGAGTCCCTGGATCGAGTCCCGCATCGAGTCCCGCATCGGGCTCCCTGCTCGGCGGGGAGTCTGCTTCTCCCTCTAACCCTCCCCCCTCTCATGTGCTTTCTCTCTCTCTCATTCTCTCTCTCTCAAATAAATAAATAAAATCTTAAAAAAAAAACAAAAACAATACAGTTTTAATGCTGGCAATCAAACAATCAGGAAAATGGTCCTGTTTTACTTTCCTCAAGTATTGGCACTAATAGGAAAGTAATTTTAATTAAAAGAAAATGAGGAAATCTCAATAGTCTTGAGATTCTGGGGGATTCTTTCAATGATTTCAGATTTGATAATATGAGTCTTCACTTCATCTAATTTCATATCAAATACGTGACTTCCCAGATGGACAAGGACCATTCGGACCCTTATTAGCCACAGCTGGGACCTCCTTTCCCTCACAAATGAATAGCAGTGGGAAAGAGAAAAAGGACTGTCCCAACACAAAGATCTTCCTACTCTCCATGTGAAGCACATATTTTAGTATGTAATCAGGATGCCCTACAGTCAAAATGTATGATGTCTGTGAGTTAATGGTGGACCTTCAAATATTAATCATACAAAATCCATGTCCTAAAACACGATGGATCATTTAAAATGCAAGTAAAACGAAAGAAGGTGAATTATCAGTCTAAGGGGTTATCAACCAGGGAGTCGGTTGAGTCCTGAAAGGTGAAGAGAGTGACATCTAGTGTTCATAAGATGTAAAGCAGCGTTTCCCTAAGTGCCAGATGGGGACCATGCATATTAGAGGGTGTTGTTTAAGGGCAGAACATTAATTAGCATAAAACCATATGAGAAAATTATCTTTTTAGTCAGTTCCCCCTCAATCCTTCATGAGGATAGCCACAGTTTGGTGCTAACGTGAGCTATGCAGCTTGGGTTTGAATCCCAGCCGTACCACTTACTAGCGTGACTTTGGGAAAATTACTTAAATTCTCTGTGCCTGTTTCCTTGTCAGTAAAATGGGGTAATGACGGAAACGATTTTGTAGAATTAAATGAGTTAATATATGGCCAGTGCTTGACACGTAATAAATGCTATTTAAATGTTTGCTCCATTAGTATTGTTCACACTTCTTTAACACTTGCTAATCTCCTTTGAAACAGAGCAGTGGGCAGGCCTCAGGCACAGAACCGAGGGCACACAATAGTATCTAGCTGGCATATAATAACAGCATTTCATTTTTATTGAGTGGGAGATACGGATCATTGCTGGGATCTGTTAACGCAGCAACACTCAAGGCCTTGTGCTGCTACAGCTTCAAACGCCCGTTTTACAGGTGAAAAAAGAGCCCCACCAACCTGCGCAGCATCACAGAGCAAGTAGATGGAGAACCCCACCTACGGCACTCCTTCCTTCTCTCCTGCTCTCCTCTGGACTTTCTTCTTCCTGTGTCCTCTACCCTGTCTAGTGGAGCTCCATCAGCTACCTGCAGAGTTTTCAACCCCTTGTCTACCACCTCACCCACTACCGTGAGAACCCTGGTAGATACAAGCCCAAGGAGCACCCACCTAGGATTCGAGTAGGCGCCCGGGAGATGGGTGCAGCCATCTCTAATATAGATGGGGGTCCTGGTGGGTTAAACAGTGGGCAGGCCCATTCCCCAGCCATCAGATGATGCTGCAGGGCAATTTCCATCATCCACTCAGCCGGCCTCCCTCATGATGCTGTACCACACCCAGAGGGAGTCCTGGCCAATTCTGGCAGCATTTACATCCCATGTGTATCACACAGGGATTGCGCTGGAAGCCCCGTCTGAACCAGGCCTTGCACACCTTCCCAGCCCCTTCTCATGTCACATCACACGCTCCAACCATCGTGGCCACCTTTCTGCTCTACAAACGTTCTGACCCCTTCCGCGCTCCATGCCTCTGCCTGGAATGAGCATTCCCTAGCTATGCACAGGGCCGGCTCCTCCTTCACCTCCAGATCTCGGCTCACAACGGCCTTCTCCGACCCCCCTCCCCTGCCCCTGTAGAAGTGACCTCCCCGTCTCCATCCTACTCACTGTCTATCACATTTCCCTGCTCCATGTCCTTCCTGCAACTGTTCCTTTCTGAAACTATATACACTGATTTCATCTCTGCTCTACTCTCTACCCATTCACACTAGAATGTAAGGTCCAAGAAGGCAAGAACGTTTCTATCTTGTTCACACTGTAGACCTAGGACCAATGACAGCACCTGGTTCATAGAAGGGGTCAGAAACACCCACTGGGGGAAGAAGAAATGCCAGACTCCAGGAGAGGTGATCAAGGCCAAATGGGCTAAGAGCCTCAGGTCAGTTTTCTCTGCCTTCTGGCTCCCAGAAAGCATCCCCAATCTTAAATGCTTGCTGTGAAGGACTTCAGCTCCACCACCAAGGCCACCACCCAAATCCTGAGCTTGGCGCTGTGTAAGTGATCCAGGTGTCATGAGATATAAGTAAGAGGGCGTGGTCCTTTTCGTGGCCAGACTCCTGTGATGGTGAGGAAATTCTATGTTTAAAACTTTAACCTGGTGCTCCTGCTTCTGGCCTCTGGACTAGACAGGAGAAACGCATTCCCTCCTCCATGAGCCAACAAATGTTTGTTGAGGACCCACCAGACTGATAGCAAGGCAGAACTCATAGCAAGATACAGAAAATGCAAGTGTGGAAATAAACAAAGAGCACCCAAATGAGAACAGGGCCATTTATTCCGAGTTTGCTTCCAGCAAGGGAGTCAGCCACCTTCACCTGTGTTTGGTAGAGAGACTCAAAGGCAGGGGATCAGGAAAGCTTTGTAGTGAAAAAGGAGAAAGCTTCAGGTGTGCCCAGAAGGGCGGTGCTGGCATGAGGAAGCTGGAGGTGGGCTAACTAGAAGGCAGGCATCTCATGTGATTGGTTTTGAGGGCATATTTGGCCTTCTCTGGTGGGTCCTGAGCCGGATGTGGGATAAAAAATAGGAAAACTGAAGGTCATTGACCAAGTCCAGACCCTTCTGGGCTAGTTGCTACAGTTGTGGTTTGGTTTTGTGGACTGGTTGCCACGGAGGTCATGGGTTGGAGTTCTGTTGTCCTATATGGTCTGGCCAATATTCGGTTTCGCACAAGGCAGGGTGTGGTGAGTGACCCTTGAATTATCTCGCTGCATATTGGGGATGAGGTGAAGGATGAGAATGGGTATTTCCAGAGCAACTGGCCCAGGACACAGGCCTCCTCATTCCTCAGTTCCCTCAGCAAGGTGAGTTCTTGAACAGACTGCGTTCAGGGACGACCCATCGGAGTTGGCAGCCCTTGGGCATCTGTGAGGAGGGGGAATCTAGGGCGTCCTCAGCCTTGCCCTCTCTTTCCCCAGTTTTCTGTTTGACTCTGGCTCTGTCTCGCAGAGGCTGCAGAGAGATGAGACCAAACCCTCGGCTTGGGAGGACTCGGAAGACTGGCTTTCCAGGCACAGTTTACAGTTTGAGAGGCTCACCCTGGCTGACCTGCTTAGCCAAGGCACCGCCGTGCTGTGAGTCTGGCACCATTCCCTTCACCCCCAAGCCTGCAAGCCTGGCAACACCCCACTCCCCGGCCCCAGAGACCCCTTCTTAAGACTTTGCTTCTTCAGGGAGGAGGGCAGCAATATCATGAGGAAAGTGTACTTCTCCACCCAGATCATCCACCAATTTGAATCCAAGCTTTCTGAGTAAGTACAAGAGCTCAAGAATTTCTTCATTTCAGCAGCCTGAAAGTAACTTTGTTCAGGGGCGCGTGGGGGCCTCAGTTGGTAAGCATACTCTTGATTTCAGTTCTAGTCGTGATCTCAGGGTCATGAGATCGAGCCCCACGTCAGCTCCGTGCTCGGTGTGGAGTCCGCTTGAGATTCTCTCTCTCTCCTCCCTCTGCCCCTCCCCCCCACTCAACTCTCTCACTCTCTTAAATAAATAAATAAATAAATAAATAAATAAATAAATAAATAAATATCCTTAAAAAAATGATTTTGTTCCGACAACAATCTCTGGGTTCTTGGGCATGTCCCTCCCACCTCTGGTCCTAATGGCCTCTTTCATCAAATAAAGAGATTGGACCATACTGGTTTTTCTCAGCCTTTTCAAATCCATGGGCCCTTTGGATGAGCGCATAAAACCTCACACCATCATCTGAGGTATAATAGTTAAATGACCACTTTCAATGACAGACTGGTTGGGCTTATACTTTTGCAAATTATGTCAAAAATATGCGGGCTACCCACTCCCAAACCAGATTTTCCAAGCACATATATACATTCCATCCCCAATGTAGCAATGTAGCAATCTATGATCCATGATCACTGTTTGCCTGAGGTTTCTTAAAAGGCTATAATAATAATTAATACCTGTCATTTATTAATGTGTCAGGAATTCTGCTAAGGTCTGCGTGCATTATCTTGTTTAATCCTCACAACAACCGAAAATACATTACTCTCAAGCCAAATATCCAAAATTCAATTGACAACTGATCAATATGCCAGATTTATCAAAACATTTTAACTGTAACTTTTTTTTTTAAGATTTTATTTATTTGAGAGAAAGACAGCACAGAGGGAGAGGGATAAGCAGACTCCCGGCTGAGCAGGAAGCCCTATGTGGGGCTCGATCCCAGGACCCTGGGATCATGACCTGAGCCGAAGGCAGAGGCTTAACTGAGCCACCCAGGGGCCTCTTAACTGTAACTTTTATAGCAACTTTTATCAGGTATGAAGGTTTAAACAGGTTTTTAAAGAATTTTGCAATATTTTGGTTGATTGGTTTTAATTGTGAATCAAGTGTGTTAAGGAATGTTCAAGTCCATTCAGTTAATTCAAATCGATTTTCAGGGAATTGGCTTTCAAACTGACTTTTGGCAAATTGACTTGGGTAGGGCCCTGGTATAATCTTCATGTTGGAGGTTCAAAGAGGTTACCACACCTGTCGAAAGGTTACACAGCTAGTAAATTGGAGAGCTGGATCTCAAAGACCAGCACGTCTCATTATGAAGCTCATACTCTTAGCTCTATTCATACTCATGTATAACTTAAAATTCTACCCACTGCCCCATGATTTCACATCCAAAGGTTTTTTTTGTTTGTTTGTTTTTGTTTTTTTACATCCAGAGGTCTTGTTTGCCGTTTTGTAGGCTCCCAAATCCCACCTGCCCTCAATGAGGGCAATTCAGTTGAATTCAAGTGATGAGTCCTGAACTTGAGCACCTGTTACATGCTCTCTCCGTCCAGTCATTGGATTGGTTTGCAATAAGGCAAGTTCAAGACGTTCTCCCGACTACTTTTTGGAAACTGAGGGGTTTTTTTTTGTTAATCAGTCCCCTGAGAACTTGCTGCTGAACTGCCTCCATTGGGCATTTATGGTCATCTCCAGGTGACTAGCAAGTTTCACCTGGGGAGACACGGATTTGAGAAGAGCAAGACATTACCCCAAAATCCCATCCACACCTTCTTCCCATGTATGTAAGTGACTGTCATTCAGTGATGAAGTTGACCTTGGCTGATGAGTCTTTCTGGTATTTTGCCAGGGCTATTGAACTCTATCAACAGAGAATCCAGTGGCTCACAGAAAACAGCAGGAAGGTAAGAGACTCCATTCTCCGCCCCCTTTTACTCATTCTGTCTGTACTTGTTACAGTTCTTTCAGTTGCAAACGACAGACCTTCAGCTTAAACTGGCTTAAGCTAAAAAAGGAATTTCTCAACCTACATAAATGAAAAACCCAAACACAGCTGTATCCATGGGCTCAGATGATGTCATCTCTTTGTCTCTGGGGTCTGCTTTCTTCTGGGTTGGTTTTATTCTCTTTTTTTTAAAGATTTATTTATTTATTTTAGAGAGAGAGAGAGAGAGAGCGCACATGAGTGGGAGGGGCAGAGGGATAGGGAGAGAGAATCTCAAGCAGACTCCATGCTGAGCGTGGAGCCGGAAACAGGATGGGGCTTGATCTCATGCCCCTGAGATCATGGCGTGAGCCCAAATCAAGAGTCAGATGCTTAACTGACTGAGCCGCCCACGCACCCCACTGTACCTCTTTGGATGGAGCTACAGAGTAGACATGAAACCAGCCCAGACTAGATCCCAGGGAAGCAATCACTCACAAACCAACTCGTGGGTCCTCTGGGTGCTGACACAGCCTGGGGTGATGGACAGGCCATCCCTGGGCCCACTTCCCAACTATGGTCAGCAAGGCCCTGGGCAAGTGGCCTCACTGCTTTGGGGATCTGTTTCCACATTAATGGAGGAGAAAAGCAGGGCTTATAAACGAGTAGCGTGCTGGTAAATCTGGCCCACAGCCATGTTTTTCTTGGCCCTCATAGTTTAAAATATTTCTCGAGTTAGTTGCCAAGATTTAGAATTCTGGTGTTTCATGTTTATGTCTGTTTTTAGCTCTCTCTTGAAAAATGGGAATATCTGGCATCACCAGGCTCCAATTCCCTCTTATGAACCTATCCAGTTATTTTATAGGATAAATGTCTAGAATTCCAATGGCTCAGTTTAAGAGAATGAATGTTTTCAATTATAAAAGCTCTAAAGGCAGTTTTTGTAAATTATAAAAGGAATAGAACTGGCCCCAGATTTGAACTCCTTTCAGCCCCTGAGGATTGGTAATGTCCTGGGAGGCCTCAGTGTTCGTTTGGGTCATTCAACAAATATTGATTGGACAACTACTACGTATCAGGAACGGGTCCCAGACTGCGAATAGAAACATGACCAATACAAAGGTCCCACCTTCGTGGAGATTATAGTCCAGTGGGGGAGGACAGACAATGGATAATTAGCAATTCATAGGCAAGGTCAAGTTACTGGTAGTGCTATAAAGAGAAATGAACAGGGTAAGGGAATAGAGAGTAGGATAGAAGGAGGGCTATTTATTTAAAAAAAAAAATTTTTTTTAAGATTTTAATTATTTATTTGAGAGAGGGAGAGAGAGAGAGCGTGAGCGGGGGAGAGGGCAAAGCAGGCTCCCTGCTGAGGAGGGAGCCCGATGCGGGACTCGATCCCAGGACCCTAAGATCATGACCTGAGCCAGAGGCAGATGCTTAACCAACTGAGTGACCCAGGTACCCCAGAAGGAGGGCTATTTAAATAGAATGGTCAAGGAGGAGACATTTGTGCAGACACCTGAAGGAAATGAGGGCACTCCCATATAGAGATCTAGGGGAGAATGTTCCAGGCCGAGGAAACAGCCAATGCCAAGGCTCCAAGACAGGAACAGGCTTGGCATGTTCTAGAAGCGGCAAGCAGGCCAGTGTAGCAAGCACAGAATGAGCCACATGGAGAAGGGGAGGAGAGGAGGCTGGAATCAAGAATGGCCTTACAGAGTACAGATCTTACTCCACAGGTGAGGCCTTTAAGCAGGGGAGTGTCGTGATCTGACCTAAGTTTCAAAAAGATCATTGTGGCTCCTTCATAAATTGACTGTAGAGAACAAAGGCCAGGTAAGAATGGTGGAGACTTAGGCTCAAGAGCTAGGGTGGATGGAAGGAGAAATGGTGAACTCAGGGCATGGCTTGAAGGGAGAGCCCACAGGACTGCTGATGGATTGCATGGGTTTGGGGCCAAAGTGCCTGGGGACCTGTTGAATGCCATTCACAAGAGGGCCAGGTGTGTGGAGGAAAGTCAAGAGGTCTGGGTTTCACCATATGAAGTCTGAGAGGCTTACCAGACATCTGGGCAGAGACAAGGAGCAGGCAGTTGATGCATATGTTCGGAGCTGCCAGAGAGTTCTGCCTGCAGATGGACCTTGGATTATCATCAGTGTGCAAATGGTATTCAAATCCCCAAGACACGTGAGATCTTTTAGGGAGTGAGTGCAGACCAGTGGTTCTTAACCAGGGAGGGGCGAGCGGCGATTTTGCCCCCCAGGGGATATTTGGCGATATCTGCAGGAACGTTTGGTTGTCAAGACTGAGAGGGGAGGTTGCCAGGGAAGCTGCCAAACATCCTGCAGTGCACTGATCAGCTCCCCATAGCAGAGGATTGTCCAGCTCAAAATGTCAGTAGTTGAGGGGTTGACAAACCCTCGTGTAGATAAGGAAGACGGAGCCCTAGCCCTGTACTTCTCAAACATTTATGGCAGCCAAATCCCTTTTGGTGGTGGGGGTGGTGGGGAGAGGAATTTTGTTAAAATGCAGACTCTAATTGGGCAGATCTGGAGTGGGACTTGAGATTTTGCGTCTAACAAGTTCCCAGGATGTCCTTCGATGCAGACTTTGGGAGGAGGTGGGGGAGGGTGAGAAGGACCAGCCAGCAAGTGGACGAAAAAGCAGGAAAACGTGATGTCCTGAAAGACAAATGTACTTATTAAATGCTTCAACTTGTTACATCCTTGACACAGCGAAAGAGCGTCCTATACCACTCAGAATTAGCGAACGTTGAGAACTTACATTTGACCATTGGGTTTGGCAAGAGGGAGGTCATTGATCACTTTGACAGGTGTAGCTTCAGTGGAGTGGGGAGGTGAGAGCCTTACTCTGAGGGAATCACAGAGAAACGAGGGGTAAGCTAAAATGGGAAGCAGAGAAATTAGGTGGGGTAGCAGGAGGGAGGGGTGGAGTCCTGAAAGGTTTATTTCCTTTTTCGGATGGGCAATAGTATTTTGTACTTTGTGTGGTGATGGAAACCGTACAACAGATAAGGAGGATCTGGTGGTCCAGGAGAAGAGACGGTTACAGTAGCAAAGTCCCTATTTGGCAAGACAAGAGCAGGTGATGGGAGTCAAAGGGTTGGCCTTAGAGCTCTATAATGTAGATACATTATAACAGGGGAAAAGGCCAAGGGTGTGGGCAAAGGGGCAGGCAGGTTGGTAGATTCTGCGTGGAAAGATTTAAAAAACAAAACCAAACTCTGGCTTGTTTCTCTTTTCTCAGTGAAATTGAAGGCAAACTCACCTGCAGAGGGAGCATAGAAAGGGAATGTTGAGGTGTGAGAGATATAAAATACCCCTCTGTGAGAGTAGAGAAAATTGGGCCTGCAGTAAAGTGGGATTTACGGCAAAAAGCATCAAATGGAACCCACGGCCCCTAGAGAATCATCCGTCTCGAACGAATGAAAATCCCAGTTCACGATGCAGCTGTAACAGGATGAACCGTCCTCAGCAGAGTCAGACTGCATGGGCACGGAGAATGTGCTTGCTGTTAGACACAGAATTAGAAACTCACAGAAATACCACGGCAGCCGGCGAGCTTGACACATCTGCTTTGATTGGTGGAGTGGGTGGAAAACAAATAAGGATATAGAGAAATGGAATAAAATCCGCTGATGTAATTAGACAGCCAACTTTGTATTTTACAAAGGATGCTTTTCTGTGGTCTCCAAATTTTCTTTAATGGACGTGGCTTACTTTATAAGGGTGGACTGTAAATATTAAGGAAAAAAAAAAAAAGACTTGTAAAGAATAGGCTTTAGGAGCAGATAATGCCTGGAACTACAGTCAGGATCGGGTTTTGCTTTTTTCCTCTATAAAATGGACCTGGCTTCTGCTGCTTTCTGAGGTCGGGGGTGTGTGTTCCAACGTCCATGTCACGCGGAACTGCCCCATGAGAGGGCTTAAGGGAAGCACAGAGCTGTGCTGGATGTTCCCACCTGCCCTCTTTGGTTTCAGGCATTTGGCCTCATCAAGGGAACCAAAGTTGGTATTGTCATTGATGTGTCAGCCGTCAGCAGTGGCCCTCAGAAAGAGGAATTCCAGACTGACTTCCTGGTAAGTCTCTCTGGCACAAAGAAGTACCTGGAACCGCCCCCCCGACACACCCCCTCCCCTCTGTGAGCTTGGCCAACTGGCTTTGTTTGTAGCAACTGCAAAATGGGGTGTTCTGCAAAGAACGGTTCACACTTAATTAGCACCTACCGTTAAGGAACTATGTCAAGTTCATTTTCAGTTCCTGTGTGAGCTTCTCGTATCCTCACCACAGCAGTCCCTACTAACTAGACTTTTCCGCAAGGGCCCCCAGTTCCCTGGAAAGAGGATGTGAAGAACCGTAATCGGTTGGACTGACTCCAGCATAGCATGGCACAGGTCTCCTGGCCTTTTCTGGCCCCAAGGGCTGTTTCGTTTTCTTTGGCATGTCCAAACAAAGAAGCTAAGAACTCTGGAGCCAGATGACTGGCCTCAAGTCCCAGCCGCCTCTGCCACTTCTGGGCTTCGACCTGCTGCCTAATCTCTCTGTGCCTTCGTTACCTCATCTGTAAAATGCGGATGACAACAGAGGCCACCTACCAGGGCTGCCATAGGATGAAAGGAGTTCATGCAAGCTAAGTGCTCAGAGAAAAAACTTTGTATGTAGCCTCTGTGCACTAATGTAAGGGGGTTCTTTTCTTATGGGAACGCCCAGAGCTTTGGATGTGATCGTCCAAGGACTCTTTTTTTTTTTTTTTTAAGATTTTATTTATTTATTTGACAGAGAGAGAATGAGAGACAGAGAGCATGAGAGGGAGGAGGGTCAGAGGGAGAAGCAGACTCCCTGCTGAGCAGGGAGCCCGATGTAGGACTCGATCCAGGGACTCCAGGATCATGACCTGAGCCGAAGGCAGTCGCTTAACCAACTGAGCCACCCAGGTGCCCCATCCAAGGACTCTTTATAGGGTTCAACATGGGCTAGTCATCCAGAACTGTCCCCCGTTCCTGGTCTCAGCAGATGTCAGGAAACAGTGCTTCATGACAAGTCTTCAGGGCTGAGGTTCTAAAGATCTCCCAGGTGGGCTGGTCTAATATTAGGCAGGGCAAGGTCTGTGTTGCCGGTGGACAGATGAAGTTCTATCTAGCCAGGAAGACGAGGGAGGAGCTACCTTACTGCTGGATATTCATCGGCTACAGCTTGAGAGCATCAGATGGGCTGGCCTTGTGCCCACTGCTACATCCCCACCTTCTGTGCTTTGGCGAGAAACCACTGCCCCCAACCTCTGTCCTCCCTCCCTGGATGCCACCGTGAAGGGTGGCACAGTCTGAGATGGGTAGCTAAGAGGCTCATCCTCCTCCTAGTCTGTGAGCCAAGTGTGTGGCAGCCCGAAGGAGCTGCTCCAGAAGAAGACATCAGTGTGCAGTCACTGGGACTGAGGGAGGGCACGACCTCCCAGGGTGGTCTGCCAGTCTACGGGCTGAGGCCCATGCCCCGCCCCCACCACGTACACACACACACGGGCTGGGATGGGTCACCAGGGCACTCATCCCACACCCCCACGTGACTCAGTGGGCAGGAAGCAGATGTCACCTTGGGGCCACTAAGCGACCCCATCCCAGCAAGGCTGTCACCCCGGTCCTGAGGAGCCAGCCCCAGCATGAGGAGTGAAGCCAGGCCCCACGTGGCCTGTGGCTCTGGGAACCAGTATGTCCCTTTGTCTGTCAGGACCTCATTGAGGAGCAGCTGAGCCACAAGGAGAAGCTGTATGTCCTGTCCTTCGGCTCCACCACCAGCGCCCTCTGGCCAGACCCGGTGGGAGTCAGCTCTTCCACGTGAGTGACCTCCCGGCCTTGGCCAGGCTGTCTGCTTGTTCCTTGTCCTCCCCACATGGTGCTGTCTTTCTTGAATGAATACAGTGCGAACCCGAGACCCCAACAGGTGAGTGAGTACAAAGAGACAACTCACAAAGCGGAAACACAGGGATCCGTAACCTTCGGCAAAGCAGACAGCCTTGTGAGCAACCCACAAAATGAAAAGACAAGACAACGGCAAGGCACCATTTTTCTCCAGCAAACTAGCAAAGATAGTTTTGTTATTTTGAAAATAATACATCTTTAAAAATCCACACAGTACGAAAGCAGAATCTCTCTCTCACCTCCCAATAACTGTTTCTTCTACCTACTTCCAAATGTGTCACGTACGTGCATCGGTATGCTTATCCTCTTTTACTAAAACATAAACAGGAATGCATTACCCTGTCTTGCACTTTGCACTTGATTTGAATGTCAGTCTCTCTCAGTACACACAGATCTACCTCGTTCTTTTTTAATGGCTGCATAGTATTCCACTGCACAGATGTACTGTGATTTAACTAGTCTTTTATTTGGAAGCTTCTAGTTTGTGGGTTTTTTGGGAGGGGCGTGGGGGGGCAGAGAGAAGATGTGTAAGAATTTCTACTTATGCCAGTAAGTAAAAATTTCTTTTCCATGAAGAGAATATCCTTGATGGCCCAGCAGGTGTTAGGTGCCCTGCTAAGCACTTTTCATGCACTATCTTATTTAATACTTACGGCCAGCAGATGCAGTAGGATTCTTATCCCCATTTTGCCTATGAAAAAATTGGGACTCAGGTTAGGGCGCTTGCCCGGAGTGGTAGAGCCAGGATTGGCTGCCAAAGCCCGGAGCAGATTCCAGGAGAAACCACCTGTATGCATTTCTGGGATGGAGGTCCCCTTGCCCAGCACTAGCTGTAAAGAGGAGCTGTTCTGGCTAGAGCAGGGTCCAGTTCCAACAGCGCTGACTCTGCATCCTGCTCTGACAGTTACGGGGTGGCCTTGACAGTCCTTGAGCTCTCTTTAGCAGAGTGAGGCCAGGGATACCTACCCCTCACTCAACTCCTGTGAACAGGAGGTGAGGGATAAGCATCTGGCAGGTGGCCGGTACTCGGTGATGAGAGCAGTTTTTTCCTGTGGTTTCCGCTCCAGTTAGACCCCTGATCTCTGGGATGTCAGACCTAGAAGTCACCATGAGGTCATAGGCAAGAGCTTCTCACTGCAGTGATTCCTAGAGACCACTTGTGATTTTGGTCATATCTCTGTCACGTGTACTATTTTGTTTTGTTTTTTTAAGATTTATTTATTTATTCTAGAGAGAGAGTGAGCATGAGTGGCGGGGGTGGGGGGGCGGTGCAGAGGGAGAGGGAGAATCCTCAAGCAGACTCCCTGCCGAGCGTGGAGCTTGATGTGGGGCTCGATCCCAGGACCCTGGGACCATGACCTGAGCTGAAGGCAGACGCTTAACCAACTGAGCCACACAGGCGCCCCGACGTGTACTATTTTAAAACATCAACTCTACATGTATTATTGAAGGGAACTATCGGTACCATAACAAGAAGCCCGTATCGGGACACCTGGGTGGCTCAGTCGGTTAAGCGTCTGCCTTCGGCTCAGGTCATGATCCCAGGGTCCTGGGATCGAGTCCCGCATCGGGCTCCCTGCTCTGTGGGGAGCCTGCTTCTCCCTCTGCCTCTGTCTCTCTCTCTGTCTCTCATGAATAAATAAATAAAATCTTTAAATAAAAAAAAAAAAAAAGAAGAAGCCCGTATCACTTGCCATAATTAGAATGCAGTCATCACAATAAATACAGTGAAAGCAAATAAACAATGATATCAAAATCCAACTTGAAACCTATTGGCCTGGAGAAGGCTGTAGGCCTGGGATCTGCTCTCCCTTTGTGTAGAAAGGAGACTGAAAGGTTATAATGACGAAGGACAGACTTACTGGCCACGAGCTGAGACTTATTAAATTTTATTGTCATTTTTATTTTATTGGTCAGACAGAAAGAGAAATGGAAAGAGCAGAACTCTCTCACTGGTATGGTGTGAGATATTTAACCGAGAAAGTGTGAAGCTGCTTTCCCTCTTTGGGCTGGGGTGCATCCCAGCGCATGCGAGATGCAGCCACACGGCCAAGGCGCCTCCTCTTGGAGTCCTCTCGGGGTCAGGGGATGAACTCTGCACTGGGGGGAGTGTGTGGTGGCTTGGGGCGCAGAGAAGGAGCTTAGCCCAGAACCTCTGATCGCAGAGTCGCTGGAGTCCAGCCTGGTTTGAAATCCCAGAGTGGGCCAGTTGCTTACGGGATCAAATCCCAACTCCGTTTTCTCATGTATAAAATTGGAAGAAATGTATTCCCCTCAAGAATTATTGTTAGCCTGGGGCGCCGGGGTGGCTCAGTCGGTTGAGTGTCTGCCTTCGGCTCAGGTCATGATCTTAGGGTCCTGGGATCGAGTCCTGTATCGGGCTCCCTGCTCAGCGGAGTGTGGTTCTCCTTCTCTCTCTCCCTCCTCCCTTCTGCTCATGATCTGTTTCTCTCAAATAAATAATTGTTAGTCTGAAATGAGCTCATGTCTGTCCTCGGTCTGGCACCTCGGCAGAGCACTGTGGTGGGGCGTCTGCTGTCTCCACAGCCTCCAGGAACTCAGGCTCTGGGTAAAGAAGCTGCAGCCTGACGGAGGCAGCAATTTGCTACAAGCCCTGAGGAAGATCTTCACCCTGAAGGGGCTGAATTCTCTGGTGACCATAATGGGAAGCTGGTAGGTCTCCTTTCCTACATGGGTAACAGACCGCACGTACAAAGGGGGCTGGAGAACCAAAAACCATCACGCAGGACCCTTCACACACACTGAGAGAAGGATTTCGTTCATAGGCCGTCCGTCCCTAGGTGTTGGGCAGGGCAGCCAGGGCAGGCCAGGCCTGCAGTCCATGCTACCTTGCATCTTCCAAGCGACCTGGGACACAGGTGGTCAGTTAGATTTGGTAGATATTCCCATTTTCTCTGGAATGTCCTCCACGTGATTTGACCTGGGGCACCCCCTTTTCTTCTTCTGTCTTCTCCCCAGCCCAGATCAGCCTTCTGAAATTCTGTCCAGCTACATCCAACAGTCCACCATTGGAAAGGGCCTCATCACCCACATCGTCACCTACAAATGCAACAGTCAGGTGCCCCTTGTAAGTACCTGGGATTCTCCAACGTTTCCCTTGGATTGGCCACAGTGATCTAGCTGGGCCATCTTGGAGGCTCCACGCATGGATAGCCCCCCACCACCAAGCTGTGGACCAGAACATGACTCTCCTTGTACCTGCTTCTTCCTTTGGGCAGTTGGGAGGTTCAGTCAAGGAGAAGTTTGTGGGAATACTGGCATTGCCCCGGTGAGGATGCTGACCCTGTCACCATCCCCACAGGCTGTCCTAAAGAACCTTGCAGAAGCTCTTGGGGGCTACTACCACTGCTACAGCCCAGAAACAGAGGTAAGCCCTTCTGCCAACACGCTGCCCCTCTCCTCCCTCCCTGCCTGCCTCCAAGCCTGTGCCTGGGGGACCTGGGCCAGGACAGACCATGCTATGTACTTGCTTCCCCTCCCTGCCGCCATGTTCAATGGGTTTGCACGAGTATAATCAGGTTAAGATGAATATGGGAAGAACAGGGACAGCATGAAGTCACAAGAGATCCTTTGCTCAGCATGCATGATGAGTGGATTGCACACCAGTGAGCCTAGAGGCCTTTTAAAGCCTAGCTGGTCGAATCCTGAATCTCTATCCAGTTGTCATCACCATGGGGTCCAACCCCACCTCTGCTCCCACCAAAGCGGAGTCTGAAACAGCTGCCTCAGGTCTTCCTCCAAGATACGTCCCCGCTACTGCAGGGGCCCCGCGGCAATCAATTCTGAATGAACGATCAATTCTGTACCAGTCCACCCATTAGTATCCTTGTCCCAGTTAATCGTAGCATCACACACCCTGTGTCCACACTGGAGGTAACAATTAGCAAGTGTGCATGTGGACCACTGGCCAATTGAGAATCCACTGTCTGTTCAGCTCGCAGGCTGTGTCTCGCCTGAAACCATCGGTAGCCTTAAGCCAAATAGTATTTGTATCTTACAGTGTTCAAGCGTCACAAAGTCTAGCATTTCACACCAAGGAGCCAAGGTCAGACAACATTTTCCTTGGTTTACACCCCTTCTGGTTACATAATTTCCCAAACTCTTGTTTGTTGAGGCCACAGATCACAGGGGCTAGGAAGGTACCGTAAATGAACAAAACCGGCTGGTTTAAGAAGTCTTTTTTTAAAATATTTTTTATTTATTTATTTGACAGTGAGAGAGAGAGACAGCGAGAGCAGGAACACAAGCAGGGGGAGTGGGAGAGGGAGAGCAGTCTTCCCGCAGAGCAGGGAGCCCGACGCGGGGCTCGATCCCAGGACCCCGGGATCATGACCTGAGCCAAAGGCAGATGCCCAACGACTGAGCCACCCAGGTGCCCCAAGAAGTCTTTTATTTTAGGGGAGCCTGGGTGGCTCAGTCGGTTAAGTGTCTGACTCTTGGTTTCGACTCAGGTCGTGATGTCAGGGTCCTGGGATCGAGCCTGGCATTGGGCTCCCTGCTCCGTGCGGAGTCTGCTTCTCCCTCTGCCCCTCCCCCTGCTCATGCATGCTCTCACTCTCTAAAATAAATAAACCATCAAAAAAAAAAAAAAAGGAAATCTTTTATCTAAAAACCCGTGGCCCTCTTGGCTTCTCTATTGTTTTTCTTCATAGAGATATGAGTACAACAAATATCATTGTCTTATTTTAATATAAGCAGAAAACAGTAGAAGGGTAAGAAAAAACTTAAGCTGACTCAGAGGGGTGGGGGGCAGCAGAGAGTGGGTGGACCTGTGGAAGACTAGGTAGCTCTTACCCCATCTAGAGAGACGCCTCTGCTCAGCCCTTGGCCTATCCCCATCGTTGCTCTGGAGGAGTGTGACCCCCATGCTGCTAGGTTTTCCAAGGAGCCAGAAATCTGGATTTGTATGTATGTGTGACTTCTTTACATTTTTTTAAATGGAGATGAAATTCACATAACATAAAGTTCCCCACTTCAAAGTGAACGATTAGCAGCACTTAGTACATTCACAATGTTGTGCAAACACCACCTCTATCCAGTTCCAAAACATTTTCATCCCCCCAAAAGAAAATTCTGTACCTGGGGCACCTGGGTGGCTCAGTCGGTTAAGCGTCTGCCTTTGGCTCAGGTCATGGTCCCAGGGTCCTGGGATTGAGCCCCACATCGGGCTCCCTGCTCAGCAGGGAGCCTGTTTCTCCCTCTCCCTCTGCCTGCCTGTCTGCCTGCTTGTGATCTCTCTCTCTCTGTCAAATAAATAAATAAAATCTTTAAAAAAAAAAAAAAAAAGAAAATTCTGTACCCATTAATCTGTTACTGCCCCTGTCCCCTGCCCCACAGCCCCTGGAAACCACCAACCTGCTTTCTGTCTCGATGGAGTCACCTATTCTGGATATTTCATATAAATGGAATCATACACCTTTTGTATCCTGTCTTCTTTCCATTAGCATCATGTTTTCAAGGTTTATCTATGTTGTAGCCTGTCTCAGAGCTTCATTCTTTGTTATGGCTCATTTATTGTCTAGATCCACAACCTTCTGTGTGTCCATTCATCCACTGATGGACACTTGGGTTATCGCCACCCTTCGGCTGTTGTGAACTGCTATGAACATTGCTGTACAAGTATCTGAGTCCTTGTTTTCAATTATTTGGGGTATCTACCTACAAGGGGAACTGCTGGGTTATACGGTAATTCTGTGTAGACTCCTTTGAGGAACCACCAGTCTGTTTCCCACTAGCAGTGGGCAAGTGTTCTGGTTCTCCCCATCCTCACCAACGCTTCCATAGCCAGTCCAGTGGGTATAAAATGTTTCTTCATATCTTTAAGGTTAGAAAACCCTTCAGTTATTTAATAACACTGAAGGCCAGTACTATAGAAATGGAACACAACAGGTTTGCAGGCTCTATCCGGCACATGGACCCTAGTTTATAACGTCTGGCTTAACCAATCCGCCACTCAGCTTTAGGAAATGACATGACTGCTTGCCCTTTCCTGCGTCGGCCATGGCTAGCAGCCAAGTGACCTCTAATGGCTGATTGCTCCTACTACCCCCAGGTCTACACCAGCTGGGACATGAACCAGCTGCTGGAAGAAATCCAGAAAGCCCAGAGCCTCCTGGGCCACATCCAAGCCTTGCGCCACAGGACCCCCTGTGAGGAGCTAACCAGCATGATGAAGGAGGTAGGTGGTGTAGGGGAAGATTCTGGAGCTGGCCTCACTCCATCCTTCTTTCTCACCCGTCTCTCTGAGGGCATAGCTGCCAAAGCCCCCATGTGCTAACAGAGAAATAAGGCAAAGCCCTGCCCTTTGCTGTACCCCACAGCTCTGAGCTGCGTGGGCCTTCCACTGTGCCAGAAGGATCCTGATGGATTTTCTAACTGAAAAATGTATTTCAGAGAAAGGCCAGCAGGCTCCTGCCACCCCACCCACCTCCCACTGTCCCCTCCCTATCCCCCAGTTTGGAGAAGGATGAACACCTCACCCACACAGAGTGGGCTGTCTTGAAGATGGTCTTTGCTACCCAGCGCTTCATTTGGGGCAAACGTCCCTGTGTGGCGACTTGATTATTGTAACATCAGCAAAATAACTCAGCCAGCTCATGGGCGTAGCACCATAAGAGCTCTGAGCTGTTTAGATCAGGCAGAAAACTTAACTGTGGACAGGAGGCACTGAGAATGCGCTTATAGCTTCACCAAATGAAGGCATGGCTGTGACGTACAGAACATCCTGGTCTGGCTGGACGCAGTGGAAGAGACACCACGCCTAGAAACTGGAATCTTCCGATTCGGTTCCAGCTCTTCTACTGAGTATCTATAAATCATAACAACTGTTGTATTAGAAGAGTTCTCATTTACTGAGTGCTCATTCTAAGATAGACACAATGATTAATTCTTTAAACGTCTTATTTTAGCATAACAACAACAGTCTGCTGTAGATATATTATTACCCCCATTTTACTGATGAGGAATCTGAAGTCAGAAGGCTAAATAATTTGCCTCAGATCCCAGAGACAGAGACAGATGAAGTTTGAATTGAACCCAGGTCTGTCTGATGTCAAAACCTCAGCCAGGAGTTTCCTACAATGCAATGCATGTATTACTCATGGTTTGCAAGACAATTACAAAGTGGTACATGAATTAATTTTTTTAATGTTGTGTATTTAAAACTAACTCATTATGGTAGTAATCTTCTTTCTAAAATTATTTGAGTACAAAAAAGGGAGTCAATTTTTAAAATTAGATCAAATTAACAATTAAAAAGCTTTAATGTTACACATTTGGCTTATTTTTTAAAGATTTTATTTATTTATTTGTTTATTTTTAAAAGTTTATTTATTTATTTGAGAGTGTGTGGGGGGGGGGACAGAAGGAGAGGGAAAGAATCTTAAGCAGGCTCCACACCCAGCATGGAGCCCAACACAGGGCTTAATCTCATGACCCTGAGATCATGATCTGAGCCAAAATCAAGAGTTGGATGCTTAACTGACTAAGCCACCCAGGCACTCCTAAAGATTTTGTTTTTTTAAGTAATCTCTACACCCAACGTGGGCCTTGAACTCACAAGTCCAAGATCAAGAGTCACATGCTGTACCAACTGAGCCAGCCAGACGCCCCCATATTTGATTTATTTTTAAAAAAATTCTAGGTGTGCCTGGCTGGCTCAGTCAGGGGAGCATGCAGCTCTTGATCTCGGGAGTTTCAAGTTCAAGCTCCATGTTAGGCGTAGAGACTACTTAAAAGTAAAATCTTTAGGGAAACTTGGGTAGCTCAGTCAGTTGAGCGTCTGGCTCTTGATTTTGGTTCATGGTCATGTACCATGAACCAGTTGAGTTCCCAAACTTGGACAAGACTTCTGCAGAATGGCTAAAGATCAATGGCCTAAAAGGTAAGTCCCCAGGGTCACGGGATCGGGCCCTGTACTGGGCTCCATGCTCAGCACAGAGTCTGCTTCTCTCTCTCCCTCTGCTTCTCCCCCCCATTCTTTTTTTCTCTCTCTCTTTCAAATAAATAAATAAAATCTTTAAAACAAAAGGGTAAAATCTTTTTAAAAATTCTAAATAACAGTACAGTGGTATTCAGATACAGGAAAATTCATGAATGTCTAAAACTTGGGAATTGTTGTTCTCTGTCTTATTTATACATGACTTATGACTTAACATCTCAGAACCTCGGGCTTTCAGTTTGTAAAGGTGGGTGAGGGGAGGCTGGACTAGACCAGGGCTCCTGAAATGATCTAGTGTAGGAGTTACTTTTTACTTCTTCGAAGCCTTGTATCAGGAGCTCATGGAGGGGTCGCCAGCCATCTTGGAGCCCAAGGTGATGATCTTGATGGTAAGGGTGGGGAGGGGCCAGGAGGATGGACAAATCAAAGCGGAAGCGAGTTGCTGGGGACATCTTCTTACCCTGGAAATTCCAGCAATCTCCCGAGAAGGGGATGGGGATGGTGGGAGGGGAAGGCAGAACTGCCTTTAATTTACCTGGTAATGTTTTCAGATGCTCCACTTAGGGGACCTGGGGGGGTTGGGGAGACTAAGGGCTTCTCAGCTCTAAAATATGATTTTGTAATGAAGCCTTTTAAATTTAATTTAGATTTCCACAGAGATTGCAAAAGGTCCACTCACAGGTCTCTTGCCTAAACCCCCAAAGCATGAGGGTCCCCTCACAATTGAGTTCCCAAACTTGGACAAGACTTCTGCAGAATGGCTAAAGATCAATGGCCTAAAAGGTAAGTCCCCAAAGAGGGCAGAACCCAGCACTCAGGTGACTGACGAAAAGGCATAAACCCTCAGGGGCTTCCAGAACTGTATCTCAAACCCCACTGTTTATTTTTACAGCCAAAAAGCTAAGCCTTTATCAGGTTCTGGCACCCAATGCATTCTCTCCTGTGAAGGAATTTGTGCCTATTCTCCAGAAGACAGTATCTTCAACTATCCATGAGGTAACTCAGATTCAGAGTTCTTTCCAGTCCTCTGCAGGGGGACTCCTCTGTGACCGTTCCCTTCCTTTTTTTTTTTTTTTTTTAAAGATTATTTATTTGACAGAGAGAGACACAGTGAGAGAGGGAACACAAGCAGGGGGAGTGGGAGAGGGAGAAGCAGGCTTCCCACGGAGCAGGGAGCCTGATGCGGGGCTCGATCCCAGAACCCTGGGATCATGACCTGAGCCAAAGGCAGATGCTTAACAACTGAGCCACCCAGGCGCCCCTGACCTTTCCGTTCTTAAATGTCGAGGAAATGAGAGTCATAAGTCGGAGCACAAGGAGCTGGGGTCTGAGGCCCTGGAGTGGGATGCAGGCTTTCCAGAACTTTCGAGAACTCTCATCACATCTACTCTAACTGCAGTTTTGCAAAGATTTGAACCTGAACTCTGGAAGATGGGGCAAGAGGGAGCAAGTCAGGGATAAGGGAGCAAGTTGCCTCCTCCTTGAAGGTTTCCCTCCATGCACTCTGAACGCACTTGCTCTCCTTGTGTCCTCACTGTACCTGGTACAGACTTCTGCCCTAGCTCCTGTAATGTGTTAACATGTGTACTTATTACATGTCTAAACCCCCACCACAGTAGGAGACTTAAAAGAACAAACTCTCTTCTCCAACCCTGTATCCCCAATATCTAGTACAAGCAAGCAGCCGATGAATGTTTCCCAGACGGCTGACTGGGTGGAAGGAAGGATGGAAATGTAAACATATGGAACTATGGAGGGGAAAAAATGGAAGGATGAATGACATAATAGAATAGAAAAGGATGGAAGGATGGAGAAATGGAAGGAGAGCATAATAGGCGAAGAGAAAGGTCAATGGAAAGATGGAAGAACCAAAGAGAAGAGGGATAGATAATTGTAGCATCAGATTGATGAGTGACTAGGTGGGTCATGACAACTTGGTGGAGGATGAAAAATTAGATTTTCCAAGTGCCCATGAAGGCCTATCCGGGTTCCCAGTATGTTTTAAGGTCTCCGACTCTGCTACTACAAAACCTCCAACCATAGGTTGTATCAAGACTCCGATGTTTGGAAGACCCTCCTCAGAAGGCAGCCTGGCTTGCTCTCAGGCATGGTGCACTCAGGGACCACTGTCCTGAAGGCCCTCTGCTGCCATGACCAGGGACACATAATGCGACCCCAGATGTGCTCGAAGCCCATTTCCCTCTCACACATCTGATTTGGAGAGCCCAGTGCCCAAATTAAACTTAACAATCCTTCCCCGCATGTGCTCTGTTCACCTGCCACCCATCCTGGCCACACCTGAGTGCAGAGGGCAATGGTCCAGTTTGAATGGCATGACGGGACAGTGAAGAATGTTCATGTGGACCTGCCCTTCCTCTGTGAGTACCAGGTTAGTAATGAGTCCAGTTGGTCAGCATATGGGGTTTGGGAAGAGGGGACAAGAGGAAGGAGTTGGGTTTATCTGACTTGAGTCATCTTGTTTGGGGTATTGAATAATTAAATGGAATTTGGAGACACCAAGCCATTGACCAAACTTCCTCTTATAAACAGACTGTGCTCTGCCTCCAGGTACCTCTGGAGCTTTCTCCACCTGCTTCCCAGGCAGGGACCTGTCAAACAAACAAAAGTCTCTGATCTTTTGGGGCAAGATCTGCTTCCTCTCCCCTTCCAGGCAATGAAATATGTGGACTCTTCTCTTCCTGGTCTTGTGGCAGACTCACCCAGGATTCAGTGAAATGTTTATACTGCCTGGATACCCATGGCCCCATCCCTAGAAGCCAACCTTGCCCCACAGACCCCTTAATTGGCCATCCTTTGGTCAGTCGCTCACTCTGTGTGGCCCATGGGTTTGCAGAAACAGCTCAGCAGAGCTCTGCGGTTGTACGAGAGACGGATCGAGTGGCTCTCCTTGGCCAGCCGAAGAATCTGGGGCACCGTCTGCGAAAAAAGGTACCTTCCCTCAAGTAGTGTTCTTGTCCTTTCTGAGTCCCATGTGTGACATAAGCACTTTTCCAACTCATGAATTCCCTGTTGGTAGCATCAGAAACCATCCCTCAGATTAAGGATCAACCATCACTCAGCAGAACCCCTAGAGGAAGAAGTCACCACTACCATCATCAAAATCAATACTGTCATCATTGTGTTACTCAGGATTCTTTCAGTTAAAAAGCAACAGAAATGGGGCGCCTGGGTGGCTCAGTCGTTAAGCGTCTGCCTTCGGCTCAGGTCATGATCTCAGGGTCCTGGGATCGAGCCCCACAGCGGGCTCCCTGCTCGGCAGGAAGCCTTCTTCTCCCTCTCCCACTCCCCCTGCTTGTGTTCCCTCTCTCTCTGTGTCTCTCTCTGTCAAATAAAATCTTAAAAAAAAAAAAAAAAAAGGCAACAGAAACTAAGTGCCAGTTGGCTTAAACAAAGCAGGGAGGTCTGGTTGAAGGTAACTAAAAATTCTAAAATAGATTTGATAGCTGTCTTCAGGCATGGCTCCATCCAGGGGTTTGTGCACGTAAAGAATCTCTCTCCATCTCTCAGCTCCACGTCCTTCCCTGGTGGCTCTGTTGTCAGGCAGACTTTCCCTTCCAGGGGATAGCCTCTGGGGAAAGAAATGGATCTTTTTGTTTCTTCTCTCTGTTTTAAGATCCCTAGTCCCATTTGGCCTAGGTAGCAGGATAGCCCCCTGAGCTCCCCACTTATCTTCTATCAGGTTAGCACTCCCAGGGCTTGGGGCAGGACCTGTCCAGGAACTATTCACTGTGGCCTGGGAGGTAGGATGTTCTAATTGCCTAACATCAAATGCCCACCCTTCAAGCTTGGGGCGGGTCTGTTCCACTCAATCCAAGTGGACTGACGGAGGCAGAGGAGTTTTCCAGGATGCTGTTGTGAGGGGAGGTGCTGGATGCTGAGCAGGGAGAAACAGTTGGTGGCGTTTACAACATCCTTACCATTCCATACCTTATTGGATGCATTACCACTTACAAAGTAGCATACTATTCCACCCTTTAATTCTCAAAGCAACCCTGTGAGGAGTCTCATTATGAATAGTTCATAGTTAAATAGGCCAAGGATCAGAGAGGTTTTGTGACTTGCCTAAGTCACACAGGAAGTGGGACCTGAACCAAGATCTTCTGACTCTAAATCCACTAGATTTTCTTTTGCTCTCCATAATTGCTGTCTCGTGCTCACTTTGGCAGCATACACGCTAAAAAAAGAAAAAAAAATTAAATAAATGGAACCATAATTGCTGTCTCAAAATGAGAGTGGACGGTGGAGTTGGGAATTGATTTGAAGTAGTGAAAAAAAGCCAAATGGGACTAGGGATCTTAAAACAGAGAGAAGAAACAAAAGATACATTTCTTTCCCCAGAGGCCCAGATACACCTAATTCCCCATCTCATTTGCTTACCTTGTTTCTGTTCCCCCAACCTCTAATAATAGTGAACGCTAGTGCTTTAAAACAGAGAAATGTGTGAAAATCATTCTAGGCAGCCCCCACCCCTTAAACCATCTCCACCGTGTGACTTTATTCCATGGTAGAAGCCCCTGGGAGAGAAGCTTCCACGGCCCCCTTAGTCTACCATTGTAATCCCACTCCTGCTGACCTCACACCACAGAGAAGATTTTGGCCAGCTATGAGTTTGGCATGCAAAACTCCCCTGGAAAAAACTTTAAATAGTAAAATGGAACAAAATAAACATTATCTGAGAGATTCGGTTCTCTTCTTAAAGCTTGTGTTTCTTTTTAGGGTGGTTATACTGCTGGATATCTCTGTGACCAATTCCATGTACATTATTCATATCCAGCACTCCCTGCGACTTCTGCTGGAAGAACAGTTGTCCAACAAGGACTGCTTCAACATCATCGCGTAGGCTCCTAGTTCCCAGTGGGGGTCCTGGGGGCAGGGGTTGCCTGTGGTCTGTGCCATTGCTGGGCTGAGGTTCCTGGCAGGTAGCTAGATGACATCTCACCAGCACCCAGCATCCTAGGATGGCCATCAGTTTATCTGACTTGAGTCATCTTGTTTGGGGTATTGAATAATTAAATGGTTGCAGGACAGTCCCACTGGGGCGAAGGTGATAAGTGGCCCCCAAACACACTGCTCGATCAGCCAAGATAAAGTAACTCAGCCCATTGCCCCATTTGGATTCTGAGCTGATAAACACAAAAAAGAGAAAGAAGGGCCCCCAGGCATGCCCCAGTGTTAGGTCCCAATTCAGGTCAAGCAAGCCACAGTATGTCAAACATTTAAGATTCCAATTCCAAATGCTAATTATATAGATTTATATATATAACTATATATATTTAAGTTATGTGTAACTATAGAATATATATAAATTATATATATTTAAATTACATATTTTATATATAAATAATTTGATATATATGTTTAAAATATAAAATATGAATATTGTATATAGAATACATATTTTAAAATTATATCTAACTATATATATTTAAATTATATATAACTATATATCATATATTTAAATTATGTACTATATATAGTTGTATATAATTTATATATAGTTACCTATAATTTAAATATATATAGTTTTATATATTTATTATAATTGCATACCTTTTCCACTAATTAGGGGAGAAAGAGAGAAAAGGAACCCACTTAAAAGATTTATTTATTTATTTTAGAGAGAGAGTATGAGGGGGGGGAGGGACAGAGGGAGAGGGAGAAAGAATCTCAAGCAGACTCCCCACTAAACACAGAGCCCGACATGGGGCTCGGTCTCATGACCCCAAGATCATGACCTGAGCTGAAGCCAAGAGACAGACACTCAACCAATTGTACCACCCATGCATCCCAGACTATACACGTTTATAACACTTCGTATCAAGTAGGGAGTATTCTAAACCTATTAAGTCAGCAGTTAATATTATATATTATTCTGTACCAGAGCCTTATCTTTTTCTAATACATTCTACAGAAAAAAAAAATGCTTAGAGAAATATTTTAGGCAATGTTTTCATTCATTTACCCATCCATTAATCATTCAACAAACTTTTACTGAAAGCCTGCCATGTACCAATCCCTGCACTGGGTATATGGAAGTGAATACATATCATACCTGTCCTCAAGGAGGTTAGGGTCTAGTACAGGGAGACAGGCATGTTAATAAATAAGTGTTATTAACTGCTTTCTGCAGAAATAGGCAGAAGGCAGGATCAGACTATCCTGCCTGAGCACAGGGATGTCAGAAAATCTTCACAGGGGCACCTGGGTAGCTCAGTTGGTTAGGCATCTGACTCTTGGTTTTGGCTCAGGTCATGATCTCAGGGTCATGAGATCGAGCCCTGTATCAGGCTCCACGGGCGTAGAGCCTGCTTAAAATTCTCTCTCTCTCTGTCTCTCCCCCTCTGCCCCTCCCCCCTGTACTCATGCTCTCTCTCTCTCTCAAATAAATAAGTAAATAAAATCTAAAAGAAAAAAGAAAGAAAAGAAAACATCTTCACAGAGGAGATGATCCTTTCATTGAGTCTTGCCAAATGAGTAGGTGTTTACCTAGCACATGGGAATGATGGAGGCAGTGGGGAAGAAAGGCATCCTAGGTAAAGGAAGCAACAGGGGGCATAGAGGTGTTGGAGCTATGGGACACAGACTGTGGAACTTTGGGGGACCATGAGGGAGTTCAGTCGGTGAGAAAATAGGGTCAGAAAAAGAGATTGTGCATGACAAAATCAAACAGATGATGGAGGGTTTATATATCTAAGATGTGCTCAGGAGCTTTTATACTATAAGACATCTAGGCATCAGAAGATTTGAAGCAAGGTAATAACATGATCAGATCTTGAATACTCATGTCACAATGTGAAGGAGGCATTGAAGGGATGTGACCCTGGAGGGATGGAGGCCATTGGGACTGCTCAGTGGTCTGCACTAGCGTGGAGTAGGCTTGAGCCATGGCCATGGGGATGGAAAAAAGGATGCATGTGAGAGGTGTTGGAGAGTTAGAATCTACAACACGTAGTTACCATTTGGCTGTAGGGCGTGAGAATGGTGAAGAGAAGATGTCCCAGATGGAGCAGATCATGGAAGTAGAAGATGGTTTTAATCCTGTACAATTGAAGATTTTCAAGAGGAGATTCAAGAGTCGTAGGACTCTGGTGAGGAGTTCTAGTCAGGAAATACAGGTTTGCGAGCCATCGGCATTCTGGTCAGGTGGGTGAGAAGGGCATGAAACACACCTGTGGAGACGTGAAGGGAAGAGAAGACAACTGAAGGCAGAACTGGTGAGGCACTGATGTTTGGAGGGTAGGCAGAGGAAGGGAACCCCCAAAGGAACACAAGAGAGGAGCAGCCAAAGAGGGATGAGGAAAATGAGGAGAGGATGGTGTTGAGAAGCCACGTCTCAGAAAGAAACAGAGTTTAATTCTGCAGAAACAAAGCAGGAAGGGGAAGAATAAAGGAATCCACTAAATTTGGCAGTAGAGCTCACTGATAACGAAACAATGAGATACAATTTTTTTTTTTTTTTGCAACTCAGTTTGGCAACCGAGTATGTAAAAGATTCAGGGATGCCTGGGTGGCTCAATTGGTTGAGCGGCTGCCTTCAGCTCAGGTCATGATCCCAGGCTCCTCTCTCTCTCTCTCTCTCACAAATAAAAAAATAACATCTTTTAAAAGAGTCAAAAAAAAAAAAAAAAACAATGCACAGTGCTGGTGATGATGTGATGGAAAGGGCACTCTTGGAAACTGTCCACAGAAGTGTAATTTGGTATAGCCCCTGTATTACATTTTTTTTTAAAGATTTTATTTATTTATTTGACAGAGAGAGACACAGCGAGAGAGGGAACACAAGCAGGGGGAGTGGGAGAGAGAGAGAAGCAGGCTTCCCACGGAGCAGGGAGCCCGATGCGGGGCTCGATCCCAGGACCCTGGGATCATGACCTGAGCCAAAGGCAGACGCTTAACGACTGAGCCACCCAGGCACCCCTTCCCTGTATTAAATTTTTAAGCATATATTCTTCATTCCTTCAATTAAAGCTTTTTAAAAAGATTTTATTTATTTATTTGACAGAGAGAGCACAAGCAGGGGGAGCGGCAGGGAGAGGGAGAGGGAGAAGCAGGCCTCCCACGGAGCAGGGAGCCCGATGTGGGGCTCGATCCCAGGACCCCGAGATCACGACCCAAGCCAAAGGCAGACGCTTACCGACTGAGCCACCAGGCGCCCCTAAACCTTTTTATTATATCTGAAGGAAATACAAGGATCATTGTGCAGAGATAACCATGCAGGGTTGTTCAATGCAGAGTTCTAATAGCGGATAAACCTAGAAAAAAACTGCATGACCATTGGCAAAATGGGTAAAACTATCACGACAGTGCAATCATTCAAAAGAATGAGGGAATGAGGGAGATTTACATGTGCACATTTAGAAAAATGTCCTCTGGGGGCGCCTGGGTGGCTCAGTTGGTTAAGCGACTGCCTTCGGCTCAGGTCATGATCCCGGAGTCCCGGAATCGAGTCCCGCATCGGGCTCCCTGCTCGGCAGGGAGTCTGCTTCTCCCTCTGACCCTCCTCCCTCTCATGCTCTCTGTCTCTCATTCTCTCTCTCGCAAATAAATAAAATCTTAAAAAAAAAAAAAATTTAGAAAAATGTCCTCTGTAAATCCCAATGAAAGGAAACAGGTTACAAAAAGTATATACTGTAAAATTCCATTTCTGTAAATATGTATATATCTATGTTTTTTTTAGTATAGTTGACACCATGTTACTTAGTTTCAGGTGTACAACTTAGTGATTTGACAAGTTTTATGCTTTTTATTTTTATTTATTATTTTTTAAGGATTTTATTTCTTTTTAAGTAATCTCTACACCCAACATGGGGCTCAAACTCACAATCCTGAGATCAAGAGTCACCTGCTCTGGGGCACCTGGGTGGCTCAGTTGGTTAAATGTCTGACTCTTGATTTTGGCTCAGATCATGATCTCAGGGTCGTGAGATCGAGCCCCACATTGGGCTCCACACTGGGTGTGGAGCCTGCTTAGGATTCTCTCTCTCCTTCTCCCTCTGCCCCCCACCTCCGCTCTCTCCCTGTCTTTCTCTCTCTCTCTCTTTTTAAGATTTTATTTATTCATTTGAGAGAGAGAGAGAGCACGAGCAGAGGAGAGAAGGGAGAGGCAGAGGGAGAAGCAGACTCCCCGCTGAGCAGGGAGCCTGACTTGGGGCTCAATTCCAGGACCCTGAGATCATGACCTGAGCTGAAGGGAAACACTTAAGCATCTGAGCCACCCAAGGGCCCCTCTCTGTCGCTAAAAAAAAAAAAAAAAAAAAGTGTCACATGCTCTACCCACTGCCCAAGCACCCCTATGCTTTTTATTTTTTTAATCCAAAAGAATATAAAGTTAATAGAACTTTTTCTGGGGAATAAAATTGGAGGAATTTTTACTCTCTAGATATTGTTAGAATTTTTTATCAAACTGTAATAGAGGATTTACTATCCAACTACAATAGATATTTTCATGAGAGGGGAAGGAGGTTATTGTTAATATTTGCCAGAGAACCTACCAGAAGCTGGACTGCAGTGGGTTTTGGAGTAAGGAGAAGCTGAGGAGGTGGTGGGACATTGTTTTTCCAGGGAGGGACATTGTTTTTCCAGGGAGCTGGTCCATACACGGGAAAGAGAAGTGGCTAAGGAAGTTGACCCTGGAAGAAAGAGGAAGTTATTTTTAAGAATGGACAGGCTTAAACATGTGCAGAGACAGTGGGGCAGAAGGGAGTAGAGAGAAGTAGGGGATGTGTGGGGGGAGGGAGGTATCTGTGGGCAGAGTCTCAGAAGGCCAGGTGGAAGAATTCATCTAGAGCCAGCGAGGGGACACCTTTTTCTTGATAAAGAGGAGCAGTCCTCTTCTCAAGGATTTAAATTCTGTCTCATAGGAAAATGAGATGATGCATTTTTTTTATTAAAAACTATAGGGGTGCCTGGGTAGCTCAGATGGTTAAGCATCTGCTTTCGGCTCAGGTCAAGATCTCAGGGTCCTGGGATCGAGCCCCACATCAGGCTCCCTGCTCAGTGGGGAGTCTGCTTCTCCCTCTCCCTACACCCTCTGCCCCCGCCGGCTCATGCTCTCTCGCTCTCTCTCTCTCAAATAAATAAAATCTAAAAAACCCAAAAAAACAAAACTATAGTACAGACAGAGTGAAAAAAGTCAGTTGTGGGGCTGAATCTGTTCTAGGGGAATTTAAAATGGGGCAATGACTCCCTCCTTTGGGGGGTGGGGAAGTCAGAAAAGAAGTCTGGCCAGAGCTGGTCCTGGCTCTGAGTCTTGAGACCCCCGGCTCTGCTCGCCCTGCAGATGTATGTGACAGACAGGTCATGACTAGCAAGGAAATCTTGTGGATGGCCCAGGCCAGTGACATCCTAACCTTTTGGGGTGCAATCAGAATTTTGCCCCCCTAAAAGCCTGGGGAGCCCAAAGCCCTGGGGTGTAGCGTAGATATACTTCTCGCTTAAGAACACGCCCTCTTACCTTCCCTCCCAAGGTTTGGAAGCACAGCTGAAAGCTGGAGGCCCGAGATGGCTGCCGTGAGCCATGAAAACCTACAAAGCGCCTGGCGGTAGGTGACCCCTGGCGGTAGGTGACGGTCGGAGATTGCGCCTGCCGTGTGGGAGGGCAGCCTCTGGGGTACCGTTTGCTCTGTCCCCCTCTCCGGTGGACTCTCCGCCCTCCCCCCGCCACACCCCCGGGGCCTCCCTCAGCTGGCCCTCCTCACCTCCCAGGTGGGCCCTGACTCTGCGCTGTCAGGGAAGCAGGAATGTCCTCAGCGCCCTGCGGAAGGCTGTGGAAGTGGACTTCAAGGACAAAGACAAACACCAGTCGCAGGGCATCTACCTCTTCACGGGGGGCATCCCTGACCAGGACATGGTGGGTAGGCCATACATCTTCTACTAGGTGGATGCCTTAGCAACGGATTTCTCCAGACTGATTTTCCAAACTAGACTTTTTTTTTTTAAAGATTTTATTTATTTATTTAACAGAGAGCAATAACGAGAGGGAACACAAGCAGGGGGAGTGGGAGAGGGAGAAGCAGGCTTCCCACCGAGCAGGGAGCCCGATGCGGGGCTCGATCCCATGACCCTGGGATCATGACTCGAGCCGAAGGCAGACGCTTAACCGACTGAGCCACCCAGGTGCCCCTCCAAACTAGACTTTAATGTGCAGAAGAATTACCTGGTGTTGTTGTTAAAATGCAGATCCTGTTCCTGAAGGCCTGGCCTGGGACCTGAGAGTCTGCCTTCCCAGCAAGCTCCCAGGAGATGTCCATGCTTCTGGTCCCCTGACCACACTCAGCATGAGCAGGCTCTCAGGTCCACTCCCCGGCCATGCCTATTAAGACAGAGAAACTATGGCCCAAGCTCAGTTATCTTTCTATCCTTGGTGCCATGTATTAGACCTGGCACCCAGTGGGCCCTGGGGAAAGAGGATTAGGCTCAGAGGACCTGAGACCAGTCCCTCCAAGAGCCCTCAGCCGCGGGGCCCTCCTGCCCTCTCTCCCCGCACAGCCCATGCTCAGCGCCTACATGGCCGAGGCCTGTGGGGGCTGCGACCTCCAGCTGAACGTGTGTCTCTTCTACGTGGGTGAGCCTCAGATGGACATCACGCCCCCTGCCCACTATGCCAGCCGCACTGACACGAGGGCCGCCTACCGCGAGGTCACCCAGGCTACTGCTGGGCGCTTCCACTGGTTTGGAGACACAGGTGCGTGAGGGTTGGCAGGCCCCTCCACCTCCTTCCTTCTAGAAAGTTGTCTCGGTACCAACATAGCTCCCCGCGCCATAGATGTGTTCCAGGAAAGGGGCATGTGAAAATCCCATTAGGAAATCTCCAGCATTCCTATTCTGGAGACGGATGGTGGTCAGGGCCACACAATGACGTGAACATACTTAATGCCACTGAATTGCACACTTCAAACATGGTTCAAATGGGGGGCGCCTGGGTGGCACAGTCAGTTAAACATCTGACTCTTGGGGTCGGCTCAGGTCCTAATCTCAGGGTCATGAGATCGAGCCCTGTACTGGGCTCCACGCTCAGCACAGAGTCTGCTTAAGATTCCCTCTCCCTCTGTCCCTCCTGTTTGTGCTCTCTCTCTAAAATAAATAAATCTTAAAAAAAAAAAAAAAGGTTCAAATGGTACATTTTATGTTGAGTATTTTACCACACGTTTTTAAAGTAAAAAAGAAAAAAAAAAGTAAGCCTACTTTAAAATATTGTATTTATTTCTTTTTTAAGTAAGCTCCATGCCCAATGTGGGGATTGAACTCACAACCCCAAGATCAAGGGTTGCACGCTATCTGGACTGAGCCAGCCAGGTGCCCTGACTTAAAAATATTTCAGAATGTCACAGCTGGAAGGGGCCTTAAGGGTCTCTTAATTTAACATTTCCCAAAAGGTGATATGTTTATAACAGGAGGTTGGCAAGATGGGTAAATGTGGAACATGGAGCAACAATTTCTTTTACTGCGATAGTTGTAGGGGATCAGAACATGCCACCCCAAAATATGCCACTGTGGCATAAGGATTGGTTTGAACTGAAGACAACTGAGAAATAGTGAAGAAGTTCTCTGCACCCCCATTTGCCTAAAAGCAGGACATAAATGTCCATCTTAGGTGTCTCCCTCTCCCATGCCAGGAGAAGGAGAAGCACTGGAGACAACAAACCTTACTAAAACAACGTGTATCTTCCCTCATTTCCCTCCCTGTATTTGCCTTCCCACAGTCAGCCCCCCCAAGAGCCTAACCGCCTTCCCTTCGTCTTGTCACTTCCCTACAAAGGAGCTGTCCTTAGTTTTGTTTTTTTTAAGATTTTATTTATTTATTTGAGAGAGAGAGAGAGCTCGAGCAGGGGGGAAGGGTAGAGGGAGAAGCAGACCCCCCCACTAAGCAGGGAGCCTGACACGGGACTCAATCCTAGGACACTAGGATCATGACCTGAGCTGAAAGCAGATGCCTAACCCACTGATCCGCCCAGGCGCCCCAAGCTGTCCTTGGTTAAGATGCCATATAGGCCCCAACTTCCAACCACACCCTCTGAGTTACTTTCTCCTGCCTATGTGCATGCTGCCCACGTTAAGAAATTCTGTTTTTCTCTTGTTAATCTGTCTTTGTCAGTTTTATTCTCCCAGCTGGAGAAATCTAAGAGAATAGAGGAAAAGGGTTTTTTTTTTTTTCTCCCCTAAGTAGTTATTTACTTATTTTAACATTTCATTAAAAAGTGCTAACTTTAGGGGCACCTGGGTGACTCAGTCATTAGGTGTCTGCCTTCGGCTCAGGTCATGATCCCAGGGTCTTGGGATCAAGCCCCGCATTGGGCTCCCTGCTCGGCAGGAAGCCTGCTTCTCTCTCTCCCACTCCCCCTGCTGTGTTCCCTCTCTCGCTGTCTCTCTCTCTGTCAAATAAATAAATAAAATCTTAAAAAAAAAAAAGTGCTAACTTTAGGGCACCTGGGTGGCTCAGTCAGTTATGCGACCGACTCTTGGTTTTAGCTTGGGTCATGATCTTGGAGTCATGATCTCGGAGTCATGATCTCAGGGTCATAATCTTGGGGTTGTGAGACTGAGCGCTGCATAGAGGTTCTCTCTCCCCCACTGCCCCTCCCCCACCGCCCCCCCAAATAATAAATAAATCTTTTTTTAAAAGTGCTAACTTTCTGGGGGGCCTGGCTAGCTCAGTCAGGAGGGTCATGAGTTCAAGCCCCACACTGGACCTAGAGCCTGCTTAAAAATAAATGTTTTTTTTTAAAAAGGTGCTAACTTTCTGCTGTCAGAAGTGACATAAATTTTTTTCTTTTTAAAATTTATTATTATTTTTAAAGATTTTATTTATTTATTTGACAGATAGAGAGCACAAGTAGGCAAAGTGGCAGGCAGAGGGAGAGGGAGAAGCAGGCTCTCCGCTGAGCAGGGAGCCGGACGTGGGGCTCAATCCCAGGACCCCAGGATCATGACCTGAGCCGAAGGCAGCCACTTAACCGAATGAGCCACCCAGGTGCCCCTATTTATTATTTTTTAAAATGTTTTATTTATGTACTTTTTTTTTTCAAAGTAGGCTCATGCCCAGCGTGGAGCCCAATGAAGGGCTTGAACTCATGACCCTGAGATCAAGACCTGAGCTGAGAGCAAGAGTCCATGCTTAGCCAACTGAGCCTCCCAGGCGCCCTTAAGTTTTTTCTGTCTTTATTTTTTTAAGTTTTCTTTTTAAAAATATACTTTTAAAGTATGTTAGATAGACATTATAGCGATCATTTCACAGTATATGCAAATATCCAATCATTATGTTGTATACATGAAACTAACATATGTCAATAGCATATATATATATACACACATATACACACAGATATATGCTTTTAAGTAAACAAAAGTGAATTGACAAAATATATAAAGGAGATAGTGGTTTAGGTGGTATGCAGATAAGGGGAAATTGTGATGGGGATACAGCAGTGATTGAAGTTTGGAATGCACTAGTACATTCCATGCTCTCTGATACAAATGAAGAAATGACTCCCAGGGACATGAGTTACCTGTGGTTACAAAGTTAGTGGCATAGCTGGGGCTGGAACTCTGGGGCCCTGTTACCCAGCTCTTCCCATGAAAAGTGCCGGACATTAACATTTAAGTTATCATTGGTGATTATTACTAATAATAGCACACACTCTAGAACAGTTATTATATGCCAGACATGGTTCCAAGCCTGTTACATATATTATTATTCATTCCTCACAATAACCCTATGAAGTGGGTTACTCTTATCCCCGTTTTACAGATGGGAAAGCTGAGACACAGAGCCCAAAAGCACACAAGTAATAAGTGGTGGGACCAGGAGTTGAACCCCGGCAGGCCAACTTCAGAGGCTGTCTTCTTAGTCATTACACTCCAGTCCCTCTCAAATAAGTCACCAATATTCACTACAGACACTAGATACTTTAAATAATACCAAGGTGGGTCTTTTTATTCACTGGAATAGCAGGACCATCGCTCCTAACCCTTCCTTCGTCTGGGTGAGAGCAGTTGGCTGGGTGCAGGGTGCTGAGTCCTAGGGCCAGCCCCTCTGCTGGGAGCCTCACTGTCCGTGCCCATCCCCTTCACCGCTGGATGGCGTAGGGGTGGGGGCTGGTCAGCTCCGGTCACCCCCACACAGCCCTGGTGTGTACAGATATGGACACTTGCCAGGATCTGCACGCCTTCTCCATGCTCACAATGTGCTTTGTGTCTAGGTATTTACGAAAGCGATGACATCAACGCCATCATGTCTGAGATGGAGAAGGCTCTCAACTACTCCCAGAAGGTATGCCTTAGGTGTGGGTTGAATGACTGCACTTCTGTCTTGGGGCTGCCATATAAAATACCACAAACTAGGCAGCTTAAAGCAAGAGACATTTATCCTCTCAGTTTCAGAGGCTGGAAGTCTGAACTCAAGCTTTCAGAGAGGCCATGCACCTTCTGAGGGCTCTGGGTAGAATCCCTTCTTACTCCTTCCTAGCTTCTGGTGCTGGATGGTGTTTAAAAAAAATTGCACTGGATGCTTGTTAAAAATGGCAAGGAAGACTTTATCCAAGGCTACTACAGTAGAGGAGAGAGACTGAACTCAGCTCTGAATACAGCCAAGAGAGCTGGGGATTTATAGCCCATTTATAGCCAATATAGCAAAAAGGTCAATGGATAGAAATGTACTAAAAGGAACTTAATTAGATATTAAGGGTAGGGGGATTCTTGCCAAACAGGCTGAACGGGATTCTTTGCTAAAACTGGGTTTAATAGGCCAAAGTCAAGGCTGAGTCAAGAAGAGCGCTCAGAGGAGTCCACTTGAAGTTCAGTCAAGGACAGAGTCCTTGTCACCAGCAATCCTTGGCATTCCTTGGCTGTGGCAACACAGCTCCCAGCTCTGCCTCCACCTTTGCATGGCTCCCCTCCCCCTGTGTGTGTCTGCATCTCTTCTCCTGAAGGGATGCCACAGGTTTGGATTAAGGGCACACCCTTCTCCAGTATGACCTCATTAACTTACATCTTAATTACATCTACAAAGACCCTATTTCCAAGGACGGTCACATTCACATGGATGGTGGGTTTGGACTACCACATATCTTTCTGGGGGACACAACTCACCCCATATCAGCTTCCCTCCCCATGTCCTGATCCACTGACACCCAAGGCTTTGGATGAAGCATGGGAGTTTCCTATAAGTCATGGTTAAGGTCTGTGTGCTATACATCTTGGCTTCCTTGGAGTTCCTTGAATGCCTGAGCTCATTCCCAAACTCCTTCCTCAACTTGGGGCTTCTGCACCTGCCTTTTCTCTGCCTGCCATCCCCTCCCAGATGCCCATAGGTTGCTCCTTATCATTCAAGACTCTCTAAAATGTTACTTCCTCAGAGAATGGTGTTGAACAATTCCAGGTGAGATGAGAGGGATAGAAAGGGGCCAGGTCATGTGAGGAGCCATGAGAACAGGGATGAGGGAACGGACATGAGAGCATTTAAGGAAGAATTGACCACATTTATGGCGATGGAACGCATGGGGTAGGGAAGAATTCCAGAGTAACTTTCAAGTTCCTTGCTGGGGGACCTGGTAGACAGTGGTGCCATTGACCAAGAGAGAAGTAACAGGAGAGGATCCTGCCGGGGATGCGGAGAGGGTGGGCCTAGGGCAAAGGTGAGTTTGTGGTGCTTGTGAGCTGTGGGTCCTTGAGAGAGGGGGAGAAGTTAGAGGCTGGAGGTAGATGTGGAGCAGTTCAAGCCATGGGGGTAGACAGATAGCATGAAGGGGGTCATGGTCAAGGGAGGGGAGGGAGGAAGAGCCCATGAAGGAGACCCGGCCTGACACATTTTCATTGCAGCCATTTGCAGGGCAACATGCCCCTGACTACAGTGTGAGCTCCTGAGAGGGCAGGGCCACTGGGCTGGCACATCTGTGGCTCCCCTGGCCATGCCTCAGCTGCCCTCCCTGGAGCGATTCCTCTCTAGTGCTTTGTTTACCCTTCTCAAGTGCACCTTAGTCTGTTCCCTCATCTGACAAATGTTCAAAAAGTGTTAGTGGGCAATAATGGGTTAACCCACCCTGCCTAGGACGTGATTTACTTTCAAATGGTGTCTTCATGCTTTGAGAATTACTGGAGAAGCTTTCAGGCAGTTGAGAAATGTGTTGGCAAAAGGAACCAAGTATTATACCACTGTTCTGCCAGCATTGATCCTGGGTATGTGGTGAGCTGATGGGTGTATGTGGATGCTGGGTCCACGTATGGAAAGCACTGGCTTTGGAACCAGATCCACCTGGATTTGAATTGAAGGTCCTCTACAAACGAGTAGTGTAGCCTTGGGCACGTCCCTTAAACTCATGGAGCTTTGGGTTCCTCGTCTGCAAAATGGGACTAAAAGCATAGTTGGCATGCCCTGTTGGCAAGAAGGTTTGAGACCCCCAGGCATTGACTAGCTCAGTGCCTGAGGCACCTCAATAATACATGGGGCTTATTATTAATAGGATTGATCCCTAGTGCTCTCAGCCCCAGGAGGCATTCTAGGGACAGAAAGAGGAGTCCAGAGGCCCCAGTGGACCCAGTCTGTCCTGCTGTGTGTGTGTGTAAGCAGGGGGTATCCCCTGCTTGGAGGCACATCGTGGCTGGGGCACCGCTAACCCTCCCAATCCCCATTGCAGTGTGCCTTACTGGTGTCCTCCCTGAAGAACCAGTCTGGAAAAGAACTGGAAAGTGCAGTCCTCCTGAAAGAAAAGCCAAAGATGTTCAAGCAAAGAAATCAGCCCAAGAAACTCTGTTCTTCCAAACCCACAACTCCCTCGGTGGCCAGAATGGTTTGACTCCCCTCCCTAATAACACACAGAGAACTTTGTTGCCACCTTGTCTCCTGGTCTCTCCTAGATCTTGAAATGGCCTGGGCCAGGCCCCCAGACCCCAGGGCCAGCAGGGGTGGGGGCAGGGGCAGGGTGCTCAGGGGTGAGTGTCTCAAGGGTACCTCCAGCCCTGGCCTCGCAGGGGAGGAACTCCTCTGGGGGACCTGCTTCTCAGCTCTGGGGGCATCTCTGGCCTCCTTCTCACTCACCTTTGACTCTGCCTGGCCATCCCAGCTTCGTTCCCTAGCCGGTACTAGGGACCTCATGGAACTGGCACGCACCATGACATCTGACGGTTGTAAGGCAGGAGGGCTTGTCTGGGTGGATCTCTCGGGGGCAAAGGAACTAGGGTATTAGGGTATTGGGCTCCTGCTACCACTGCCCAAGGCTTGGCGGGGGCCCATAGGACCCTGAGGGTGCACCTGTGTCTTCTCCCCGTCACAGCCTGTCACATCTGCCTGCATAAAATATCCACCCCACTGCAGAAATCAGAGGGACCCCAGAGGACCCCAGACTCCAGTGCTTGTGAGCAGACAGGCAGATATCTAGAGCCCTTCAGCACGTCACTGACTGACAGAGCCTTGTGAACACAGTGCATTTGCAGAGTGAGGGAATCCGTCCGGATCCCATGGAGCTTACTGCCGTCTAATTCGGAGAACTCCACCAGGTTCCAGGAGCCGGCCCAGAGGCAAATTCTGGGATGAAACCCGAAAGTCTCGGGGGCTGCCTCTTGAGCCTTCAGTGCTTCCTGAGCTGGTTCAGCCTCCCAAGAGCCTCCTGGAACGAGGGCCGGGGGCTCCCTCGGGTGGCAGCAACCAGGCCTTTTCCACAACAGCTCGCCCAGTGATGTGAGCTGGTCCAGGGCCCCGGGTGACTTTGTTCAGCCATCGTCACTTTCCCCTTGTTCCCAGTGAGGAAGAACTCCTCCCTTAGAACCAAGGTACCCAGTAGGGCATAGAATTTACCTGAATGGTTGTTTATCATGCTGGAGGCCCAGAAATCCCAGTCCAGTAGGAAGAAGGGCAGGTAACTGAAGAAAGTTCTGGCAAATCCCATGGCTGTCCTAGCATGCCCTCCCTCACTGTTAAATACGCACACACACACACACGCACACACACGCACATGCACACATACCCCACATACCTGTACACTTTTTTTAACCTCAAAACCCACAGTCTCCTCTAAATCTGCAGCAGGAGATGGAACAAACGTGTCCAAGATTCTGCTCCCATTGGCTCCTCCCTGCACAGGTTCCTAATGGCCAAACTGAGACTGGGGTTTCATCCTAGAATTTGGGAAGGCAGGGGAAAACGAGGTCTCTGGGCTGGCTCCTGGAACCTGGTGGAGGTCTTTGAATGAGGACAGTGCCTGTGTGGACAGGACCTCCTGGACACACAGCCCCTGGGATGGGAGTAAGCTACACACTGTCTGGGCCTCTCACAGAGAACAGGCCACTGATGGGAAAGACTGCCTGTTTTCTAGAGCCTTAAAGACAACCCTGACAGAGAGAAGAGCTCCTCCCTGCAAGCTCTGACTTGGGGGCCCCTCAGCAGCAAAGCAGGCGCCCCACCAGGTAAGGCCAGTGGGTGGAGGTGGGGGGCGGCCCTGGCCGAGAGGTGAATCAATTACGACAGTAACTGAAATGATGGATGATCATGAGTCTTGATCACGTGCCAGGCCTTCCGCTAAGATTGTCCCATCTAAAGCTTACAAGCATCCCTCCTGTGTGACAGGTCATCTATCAGTTCCCCGTTTTGCTGATAAGGAAATTTGGGCCCAGAGGGGCTAAGGATAAATGACGGGTGCTAGCTGATCGTGACAGGGCTTCAGTTTGTTTATTAAAGTATTCAGCGCACAGCACCAAGACCTTGTATCTTATTTCCAGTGTCAGAGACATAGCAGAACGGTCCAGAGCAGAGTGATGGAGTCAGCAAGACCTGGGTGGAATCTTTGCTCTGCCCTGACTGCCTCTGAGTCCCCCTTACCTCGTCTGTAACCTGGGGCACTGTGAGGATAACACGAGACAGGGGTACAGAAAGCTCCTAGCACCCCCGCGCCTGGGTTATATGGGCACTGGGTAAATGGCAGCTCAAACTACCGCTGCTCCAGGGGAGGCCAGAAGACCTGGGGTAGTCCCAAAGGACCTCAAAGCCATCTTGGAGCCCGATCTCGAGGATACAGCATAGCTGAAATCGACAAGTCTCTAAGACAGCTGGACAGCGTCACTGCGTGACCCCACGAGGCTGCTCCAGCCAACAGCCCCCTTGTCCCCCAGCTGCAGCCCAGCCCATGAGAGAAGGGACTGCAGAACGGAGGAGGAAGACCAAATGGAGGGAAGCAGAGACCTCTCTCTCACTGTTTTATACAGAGTCGGGGAATAACGTGGGTGAGTAGGAGGCTACACGAACATCTGGACAGCCCCGTCACCCTGTGGGGACTGTCGGGTCAGCAGGCCCCGCGGTAGGGAGACCCTCTCCAGCTGTCCCAGGACATGGGCTGCAGTGCCTACACTCAAGCCACTCAGGTCTCCCAGCCTGGGGAAATGGGCGTGCAAATTCTCGACGCCACTCACCGTCCCTCCATCAGAGGCAGTGTCCTCCGCTCTCAGGCTGATTGGGAAATGGGGAAGGGAGTGGAGATGAGTGTCCTTGGGTCCCTACCACCCCACCATTGATGACTGTGAAGTGGTACAAATGGGGCTGGTACCCAGGAGCGATTCACTGAGCTGTGGTGAGCAGAGCTTGCAGTCGGGTTCCCCTGATCCACCTAACAGCCTCCCTTCTACCCTTCAGCAAATTGCACCTAAGGAATTTTGCAGCTGATTTGATTGACAGAGAAATTAACATGCAACATGAAGCCCAAGGCGGGAGGGAAGGAGGGAAAGAGTGGAGGGAGGGAAGGTGTACAAGATAACCTCACTCTGAATTCTTAATCGCAGGAAACAAACTGAGGGTGGCTGGAGTGGGGGGGGGTGGGGTGGGAGGGATGGAGTGACTGGGTGATAGACACTGGGGAGGGTAGGTGCTCTGGTAAGTGCTGTGAATTGTGCAAGACTGTTGAATCTCAGATCTGTACCTCTGAAACAGGTAATGCAATATATGTTAAGAAAAAAAAAAAAAGAAGAAGATAGCAGGAGGGGAAGAATGAAGCGGGGGAAATCGGAGGGGTAGACGAACCATGAGAGACAATGGACTCTGAAAAACAAACTGAGGGTTCTAGAGGGGAGAGGGGTGGGAGGATGGGTTAGCCTGGTGATGGGTATTAAAGAGGGCACGTTCTGCATGGAGCACTGGGTGTTATGCACAAACAATGAATCATGGAACACTTCATCTAAAACTAATGATGTAATGTAGGGGATTAACATAAGAATAAAAAAAAAAAAGATAACCTCACTCTGTTTTTCCCAGGCTCCATATACAAGAAGTACCCTCAAGGAAGGGGCATACGGAGGGTTAGCACTTCTATCCAGTTGCCCAGGAAGGATGCAGTGTGCTCAAGCAAAGAGGTATGAAGTTCTTGGCACCAGCACATGTCCCTCAAGCAGTAATTCCTTCCACCAACTTTCCGCTTCTAGGAAGGTGGGCATACTTGGAAATGAGGACAAACCTGCTTACAAGGACTGCTTAATGTGGCAGGTGGGGAAAGAGTTAAGTAGACCTATGTTTGAAACCTGGGCCTGCCACTTCCTAGCTGGGTGACTTTGGGCAAGTCATTCAGCTACACTCAATCTCGTGTCCTCATTTGTAAAAATGAAGACAGTTGTTCCTGTCTAATAGGATTGATGGCTAGTTGAAGTATATTTTGTGTAGACCACTTAGCAGCGTCCATCTTTTGGTTGCAAGCAGCAGAAATCCCCCTTCTTGTTCATATCCTGAAGGTGGAACATCTTTCTTCCCACAATCATTCATTAAACGTCTGAGCTTGGTTCTGATGGGGCCGATCCCGGAACCATGCTTGATGGCTGTGAGCCTGCCCATTATTGTACCTCTCGTGGTGACAAGGAGACTGAGATTATCCTCATTGGTATAGAGGCTGAACTTCAGACCAATCATGGCTTTCCACTCAAATTTTGTGGGAGAGAGTTGAAATGGATATTGGGGAACCAGACTTCCAATGCCCACCAGACTCGGAAGTAGCAGATGCTCAATAAATTGTGTTCCCCGTTCCCCGCATTTCTTGTGCATCTCTCCCCAGTGCAGGGGAAGGAATCCACAGGCAACAGATGCTCAGTGAGGACCTAGAAACCCCACATTTCAAACACGAGACAGATTTCAAACACAAGGTTTTAATAGATGAGTCAGACCATCATTCAATTAAGACTACATTACCCAAGATAATAGTTCTTTCCTTTATTCTCAAGTGGGTAGCAAATTATGGGCTAAAAAAACTGAAGATGGAAATCTCCAGATACATGGGTCCCAGCTGCGCTCATCAAAAGTCAGTCCAGGGCCTGGCGTCAGCCAAATACTGCAGCATCCTGCCCAGCGTAGAAATCAATGTGAGTTGTGGTTTCCATTGCCCTCGTTCCCTTTCTCCCACCCCCTGCCTGTGATCAGCCACAAATGGTGAGTTTTGGGGGGTACTCCATGTGCGTGTCTGTGCCATGGATTCTCTTCCCTCTTCTATCCACAAAGTGGGATGGCTTTCGGCAAAAAGGAAATGCAGATCCCATTGGAAGAGAAGCCAACCCCTGGAGGGCCTGATACCACCCCCCAGAGCTAGAAGGGCTCCCTGGTGTGAGAATTAGAAACAGTTGCTGAGAATGGGGCAGTGGCTGAAGAACTCACCAGAACTCTGTACCCCAGTTCTGCTGATGGTTCTATCAGGATGATGGAGACTGGGGGGCTTCCCTCCTCCCCGCCTCCCTGTGGGGAGGGGAAGGTGTTCTCTAGTTTGTAGTTTTGGGGTAATTTTTTTTTCATTGCTTTGACACTGGAACAAAGAAATTTAGTACAAATGAAAAACAAATCGTGGGTTCTTTCTTTAGAAGATCCCGTTTTCTATCCTTGCCATTTGATATGATATTATCGATGTTAGGGGAAACTAGAAAGTCAAAAGTAGCCACCAAATTCAAAATTATTCACCAGAAGGATTTGATGGGAGTTTTATCTTTTAGTTTGGCATTTATGGACTTCCTGTCCTACCATTAAGGGTTTTCTAATTTAAAATTTAGAGATGCTATGTTTTTTATTATCACAGTGACCGCATTTGCCACAAAACCATCGTCCCAATTCCCCTACTCCTTTTAGAACGATAAATCTGGTAGTTTGATAAAAGAAAAAAAACTTGTAAGCAAATATATGCATGCCTAATAGATGTTTTGGAAATTATTAACTACAACCGCCCGAACCATTTACGGGGGTGATGGGGATCTGAAAACATAGCTAGCTGATGGGGGGAAATCTGCCTTGGCTTGTCTTAACCCAGGGGATAGTGAGACATATCCAGTGGACGCCCAGGGAAATGGAAGCATACATCACGTGCCTGGAGAAGGTGATGAGGCGCTATGTCCAGAGGCTGCAGTGGTTGCTGTCTGGTGAGCCTGCCTGCTGTCCTGGAGGGTGGGAGGGGCATGAGGGGAAGTGCAAGGTCAACCCCAGGGACCAGGGTCAGTCCTTCCCAGGCCAGGTGCACGAACTGTCAAGTCAGGGGTGAGGCCAGGAGGGTCATCCAGGTACAACATGATTTCTGGGTTCCAAAGTCAGTCAAGCTGCTGGATGTCAGGGAGGTGGAGCATGGGCCAAAGGGCACCAGAGAGAACCCAGGCCTGTCCAGGCCCACCCTGCAAGGCCACGTCCCCCACCCCTTGCCTTCCTGGACATGACTGAGGGGCTCACTCTCAAGAGGCTCAATTCAGTATTGATTAGACCCCACAGAACTGGTCCATCAAGGTAGATATGGGAGGGGGTCCCAACAGAGAAAAATCCCCCTGTTCTTCTTTACCAAGAGCACCAGGGCCCCTTCAGGGCAGGCAAACAGCAGGGCTGGCCCAGGAGAGCCAGGCTCACATCCTAGAGAAGGGCGGGCTGGGGATCGAGAGATGGTCAGAAGCATCAAGTCCAAGAGGGCAGGCAGATAGCTAGTGCTGGACGGGAGGGTGTTGAGGTGCTGGGGCCTGGACGGTTGCTGGGACAACAGGAGGAAGGAGAGAGGGAGCCTTTTGTAGAGGTCCCTAGGGAGGGGGCCCCCAGGATCCTGTGCAAATTCATTAGGTCCAGTCCTGTGGACCAGTAGAACCTGGTAAAACAGACCATGTGCTGTGGGGTAGAGTGATGACTGCGCTTCCCAAAGTCGCTGTAGGGGGCCGTCAGCTCCAGGTGTAGTCGTCAGGTCAGACGCTGACATGGTCCCGCGCCTCTCTCCAATCCCAGCGCACGTTCGCTGCCGGGAAGGGCGTCAAGAGGCCGCTCGCAGTAGGAGCCAAGTCCCCACCTCACATACAGGTGCGCAGCCCAGTGCCACCTCATACTTCAAACGGCGCCAACACTTCAAAACCCAGGGCTACTTCACTTACTCACTCATTCGTTCATTATTCAACAACTATGTGCTGCTCTCCTGTCAGGCACTGGGGAGATGGTGGAAGGCGACACCCAACACAGCCCCTGAGCTCGTGGAGCGTATGGTTTAGGAGACAGACATTAACCAAAGAGTCTCACAAATAAGTCTAATGTCACCACAGTGACGCATAGAGAGGAGATGGGCATGGTGCCGTGCGAGCCTCTAAGGGGGCGGCAGGCCTGGACAGGAAGATCACGGAGGGCTCTCCTGAGGAGGTGATGATATTTGAGCCAAGATCTGAAGAATGAATAGATGTTAGCTGGGCAAAGAGAGGAAAGACAGGCATGTCTGAGGTGCTGGCAGGGAGTGGGAGGATGCTGAATACAAAGACTAAAAGGAAGCCAGTGTGAAGGGCACCTGGGTAGCTCCATTGGTTAAGCATCTGACTCTTGATTTTGGGTCATGAGATCAAGCCTCAAACTGGGATCCGTGCTCAGTGAGGAGTCTGCTTGACATTCCCTCTCTCTCTCTCCCTCTGCCCCACTCCCTGCTCACGCACACACTCTCTTTCTCTCTCTCTCTAAATAAATTAAAAAAAAAAAAAAGGGAGCCTTTGTGGCTGAGAATGAGGAAGAGTAAGGGTGAGACCATCCCAGAGAGATGAGGCCCTGCCCGGACTTTATCTTTTGTCCTAAGAGCAGTTGGAAGCCACTATATGTTGTAAATCAAGGGAAAGTGATCAAGTTAGCATGGGCAATGATCCCCCTGGTTGCCATGTGGAATATAAACTATTGAGGGGATGGAGTGGAATCAGGTAACCTCGTAGTAGGCCAGGTAAAAGAAGGTGAAAGACTAGGACCAGCTGGAAGAGCTGGGGGTGATGGAGATGGATGAAGGAGGCAGAGTCAGAGAGACTGCGGAGGTAGAAAGGACAGGGCTTAGGGACTGGCTCTATGTTTCCACCATCCGGCTCCCACCAGGGATCAGCCGGCCGGTTGTGGTTGGAGGTCCCTCGACTGGCTGGCTGGCCGGCCATCCTCACGGAACGTGTCCCATGCCTCAGGATGGCTCCCTCTTGTCCTCATGTTGATGTGAGCATTGCCAGAGAACAGCCCAGAGGAGCCGAGGCGGATTCCTGGGCAGGGGCTCCAGCCAGCTCAGTCCACCTTTTCCTGGAGAACAGCCCATCTTTTCTGTGGCGGTTTTTCCATTGTTTCTATTACTGCCTCCAGTGAGGTCCCTGAGGCATGATTGGAGAACGCCGGATGCATCGTCTGCTCTTCCTTGGGCTTTCCCCTGGGTGACCTCCATATTTAGCCTTGCGGAAGCCAGGAGGGTAGGATTAGCTGTCGCCTGGCTAAAGTGTGGATCAGGATGTGGGTATGAGTGTCAGCAGTCACCACCAGTCTGTGTGACCCTGGCCAGCCGCTGGCCCTCTCTGTTTCCCCTTGGGTTGAATCCCAAATCCTTCCACCACGTCACCGGCTTCACCTCTTGCCCCTCTCCCCGCAGGTCTCTCCATCCCAGTGGTCCTGATTCCCCGCATGGGCCTTCTCTCGGTGCTGGGGCATGCCGTGCTCTCCAACTGCGGCTCAGGCTTTCCCGGGCTGCTCCCTCCAGACCTCCACCACTTTCCTCCACTAGCTGCCACTCCTCCTGCAGGGGTAGCTTACCCATGGAATTGGGGCTCTCCCCATGATGTGCCCCACGACACGCTGTGTGAGCCGGAACCATTAAGCTAACACCTGTCTTCCTTGCCCGACTCTCGGCTCCTTGAGGGCACAGCGCCAGGCTCCGCTGATTTCTGTTGGCCAGCTGACGGGCTCCGCGCTCCGTAACATCTTTTCCAGCTCCAAACAATACTTAACACTACTTTGTCCCCTCGCTTAACTGTAGGGATGAGGAAACTCAAGGCCAGAGCGATTTTTTTAAAGATTTTTTATTTATTTGAGAGAGAGAGAGAGCACGAGCAGGGGGGAGGAGCAGAGGGAGAGGGAGAAGCAGACTCCCCGCTGAGCAGGGAGCCCGATGCAGGGCTCGATCCCAGGACCCTGAGATCATGACCTAAGCCAAAGGCAGACACTCAACCGACTGAGCCACCCAGGCGTCCCAAGGCCAGAGCAATTATAACCGCTTGTGCAAGTGATCACAGATCACAGGCAAAGCCACAGCGGAAACCTTGACCTTCCAAAGCCCACACCACTGACCAGCTCTGCCCTTGGACAACTGACGCCCCGCCAACACCACCACAAAGGCCATTTCCTAGGGGGCTGACATCTGATCGGTGATCAGTCAGGCAACAGGTGTATTTGGCAGACCTTGTATTTGACCGCTGCTGTGAGAAAGACCACCCTGCGGGGGTGGAGAGGGAGCGACCCCTCACACCTTCCCTGCCTCTGCCCCCACCACTTCGGAGCAGGGAGCCGCCGACTCTTTGGCACCATTTTGGAGAGCAGAGTGTGCATCCTGGTGGACACGTCGGGATCCATGGGCCCCTACCTGCAGCAGGTGAAGACGGAGCTGATTCTGCTGATTTGGGAGCAGCTGCGGAAGCACTGCGACAGGTGAGAGGCAGGGGCACGAGTGGGTGGGGGGCAGGACGATTAAAGGGGCAGTTTGTGGGGCTTCCCTCTTCACCGTTCCCGAGGCCTGGAGGCAGAGCTTATTTGAGCAGTAAAGAAGTAAAGCAGCCTTTAGAAATCCACCTTGGGCCCAGGGACCATTGCAAGCAGAGCAAAGGAACCACCAGGTGGCCTTGAATTGTGGATTTCAGCTCAACTTGATTTTTTAAGAAGGGGGGCGGTTCGGGTTGTTTGTTTTCTCTACCCAGAGAGGTGGATGCTAGGAGACAGCAGGAGACTCTCCTAGGCTGGGACTCATTCTTGCCTTCTTATTAATAAGAGTAAAATTTATTGAGCACTTTCCACTTGCCAAGCACTTTATGTGCATGATTTCGTTCAGTCCTCACAGCGCCCCCACGAGGTATTGCCGTTATTATCCCCATTTTTCAGAAAAGGAGATTATGACTTAGAGAGGCTAAGTAATTTGCCAGAGATCACATACCCTGTAAGCAGCCAAGGTGGGATGTTAATCTATTTCGGTCTGCATCTGGAATCTTCGGTGTGTACCTTCTCCTTCTCCCCGAGGGGCCCCGGGGCTCACTGTAGGGGCTTGACTCTGCTAGGCATGAACAGTCCTCACGGGGGTTGCTTCAGCCAGCCTTCTTCTAGCCACTCCCTTTCACCTCCTCTCTGCCCCCCACCTATTCTCCCCCATCCCCAGCTTCAGCCTGCTCAGCTTTGCGGAGGACCTGCAACTGTGGCGGGACACTCTGGTGGAGACCACGGATGCGGCATGCCACGAGGCCATGCAGTGGGTGACCCAGCTGTGCGCTCAGGGGAGCACCTCCATCCTGCAAGCATTACAGGCAAGTTCTTTACCACTGAGCCCACCCCCATCCGCCAAACAGAAATACCCTCACCCCCTATACGGATACTTTCAAATTACAAAGAGCCTTTTAGATTTACTAAGTGTTACTTTATTTCGTCTTCCCAACAACCCAGTAAGAAAGGGATTCTTGTTCTCACTTTATAGATGAAGACACAGAGGCTCAGAGAGGTTAAGTGACTCACTGGGGTTAACCAGCCAGGAAGTGGGCTGTGCTCTTTCTCCTAAACCTTGGCAGCCTCCTTGGTCCGTGGTAGGCTGGAGGGGGGGGGGGGGGGTCTCTCTTAACGGACAAGTCAGGGGAATCCAATCAGACACATTTTCCTTGGGGACAACAGGCAGTTGGTTTCTCGGTGAGCACCTGTCCCCGAGCCAGACGACCTGCTCGTGCTCTTTCAGAAAGCCTTCAGTTTTCACGATGTAGAAGGATTGTACCTCCTGACCGACGGGAAGCCAGATACAAGCTGCAGCCTCATTCTGAGTGAAGTCCAAAGACTCACGGAGAAAAGCAAAGTGAAAATGCACACCATTTCCCTGAACGGCTCAGGCAGGTGGGCAAGAAGGAGCCGGCTCCAAGCTGTGTTCCTCTCCCGGGGCTGCATGTGTGAGGACCAAGGCCTGAGCAACTCGCCCAGTCCAGGGCCTCCCCATAGACCCTGATCTTGCCTGGGCCCTGATCCGTAAGTGAGAAATGAGAAGGGCCTGGGCAGGTGTTACGCAGAGTGAAAGCCCTCTCTCGACCTCCCAGAACCCGCTCTCCTGTCTCCAGCCTGGAAACCAATGGCACGTGCGGTATTGTCCCTCCTGATCTTTCTCAGGAGCCCACTGGTGAATGTTAAGGGGAAAGGAGCTTAAAGTAGCATTGTCATGGTTATTTTTATAAATCATCACCGTAGAGGAACATGTGTTAGACCAGAGAGATTCTGCTCCTTCGGAAAAAGACTTTAATGTTATTGGCAAAACTGTGATGACTTGGGTGCATATTTGTCTAAACCACGAGCTCCATGAAGGTCACACCCGTGTCCCTGCCAGGCCTAACACATAGGAGCAGGCACTGGCTAGATTAAGGCCGGTGTGCTGGCTGTGTGTTTTCACGTTCACTGCCCATAAACTGACAGGGGCTGGGCCTGTGATGCCCACATGGTCTCAAGGACACGGAGCCTCCTGGCCCGAGGGCCACGGCCCCAGAGACTTGAGCTCCCCATGGGCTGGGGGTGTGCAGGCAACTTGCCTGGCCAGTCAGCGGGCCTGGCCCCAGCACCTCTGTTCTCTGGACTAGGGCGGCGGCTGACTTCCTGAGAAACCTGGCCACCCTCACAGGGGGCCGCTATCACTGCCCCGTTGATGAGGACACACTCCTCAAAATCCACGGCTTGCTGACCAAGGGCTTCGTGGACGAAAGGGTAGGTTTGTGGAGCGACGGAGCCAAGTCTGCTCAAATGTCTCGATATAATGTCCACAGAGGTGGGGTTTTATTTTCCCCCTCTAACTGGAAAGATCTCTGCTTCTCTTGGAGACTAGAAAGTATTGGCTAGAAGGGGTTCTGTTTCCCTGATGCTCTTCCTCTAGGCCGGCTCCTCAGGATGGGAAAGAGGCAGAGCATGGACATGTTGTTTAATAATAGAATAGTTCAGGGGCGCCTGAGTGGCTCAGGCGGTTGGGCTGACTCTTGATTCTGGCTCAGGTCATGATCTCAGGGTCATCAGATCAAGCCCTAAATTGGGCTTTGTGCTCTGCGTGGAGTGTGCTTAATATTCTCTCCCTCTCCATCTTCCTTCCCCTCTGCCCCTCCCCGCTCACACACACACTCTCGCCCTCTAAAATAAATAAATAAATAAAATCTTTAAAAAAAATAATAGAACAGTTCACATTCATTGAGCCCTCACTTTGTGCAGGTCCATTGCTCTATATAGACTACCCCTTTCAATCCTCTCAACCATTACTATACCCATTAAACAGATGAATAAATAGGCTCAGCAAGGGATAGGAATACACCTAAGGACATAGCAAATGGTAAAGCCAGAGCCTGGATACCCACGCTGTTAACCTCTTTGTTTTGAGTCCTGCATATTTCTGTCTCCCTGTATTCAATTCATTGAAACACAGATATTCAAATGATCTAAGTAGTAAATCTAATAAAGTCACAGGTTCCGTCACCCACACGAGATAAGAGGAGAATACCAACCATCCTCTTCTGATCTGACCGAAAAGTTATGCACATGTTTAAACCTTTTAGGAACACAGTGCTGTCAATTTTAGCATTTTCAAGGCAACAAATTATCAAGTAAGATGAACAACAAGAACTCCAGATTTCTTTTTGGAAGTTAAAGTACATATCACAGGACATGGAATAATTTTTGAAGTCAAACGCTTTGCATGACTCCTTTGTTCAAGTACCTCTTCTAGGGACAAATATTACAAATAGTTCAGAGAAGAGAACAAGTTAAAGTAATAAATATTTACCCATGTCCTTATAACTTAGGAAAACACACTTGACAATATTGCGAGGGTCCTCGGTTCAATGCCTCGACAAATCAGAGTCTTTGAATAGTTTCTGGATGCAGAATGGGATCATTCTGCTCCTGCTGCCAAGGGCAGAGGCAGCTTCTTCTCTTTCTTACATTCTCTCGCTGATTGTGAGAATTTGTGTTTTTAATGCTAGCCTCTGGAATTCTACTGGTTGACATAACAAAGAAAGCATGTCTGTGAAGTTTGGTTTTACTAGAAGCAATAGGGAAAGGGCAGAACAAATTTCACCGAGTAATAGGGAGATAAGGAGCAGGTACCGCTTCTGTTCTGCTGGGAAGAGAGGGGCCACCGACTTCAGTGAAGTTCGGTGAGCATCTCAGTTTGCCTCTGCCCACTCGCTCCTGACACGGACCCTCAGACACCTTATGTCAAAGTGTCCCATTTGCAGAATGACTGCCTTGGCAAGTGGTGAGCTCTTTGTCCCTGGAGATATGCAAACCAAGGCCCACAGATTTCCTGCATTTGGTGGGAGACCGCATTTGATAAACTCTAAAATTTTTCTGCTGAGAGTTTGGATTTGCAGTTGCATCCAGTCATTTAATGGATGTAACTTCACGTTCATTTCTTCTTTCCGAGGATCCCCTGTTGCCACTGTTTGAAGGAGATGATTTAAGGAAATTGGCCCAGGAGATCACCAAGGCCAGAAGCTTCCTCTGGAAGGCCCAGTCCTTCAGGTATGCCCTTCGAGCAGCCCCTCCCACCTGCCTCACGGCTCCAGCCCACCCAGACCCTGGGCCCACCCAGACCCTGGGTCCACCCTGGTCATGGCAGCCTTCCTCTAAGAGCTCCAACCCTGCTTCTCCCGACCAGGCCCAGAAACCTGGGCATCAAGGGGACCACCTTACTTCATCTCCTGTCCACTAGGTCCCAACTCCAGAAGAAAAACAACACAGAACCAAATGTTACTCCTTTTTAGACAAGTGTTCTCAGGTGAGAGGAGGAGACAGACTTTCCATCTTGTAAGTATCCACCAAGGGCCAGACATTATGCTCTGTTTCATGGACAGCAGTAACTATGGGGAGGGACCAGAAATGATTCCTCTAATACAAATAATCACTCACTGAGCACACTTTGACCCTGGGAAAGCTGTAACCCAGAGTTCATCCCCAGGAAACACGATCCCAGGCGCCAGGGCTCCCTGGAAGCTGTGGGAGGGAAGGCTCTGCCCTCCTGGGTCCACCCTAATGTTCCTGCCCTGTCCCCCAACACGCCCTACCCTCCAGCCACAAAATTGTCACTCACTGGGAAGCTCTGCACCAAGCCCTGCCTGGAACCCCCTGCTTAGTACCCTCTGCCTGGTGACTCCTGCTCATCCATCAAGGCACATCTCAAACGGTATCAACTCCACTGTGAAGATGTCCCTGAGACCCATCAAGAGCTGGGAGCCTCCAGCCTTCCTTCCATTGCATCCTGGCCAAACATCCCTTTTCATAACAGTGACACTTAGCCCTTATTATGCCAGCACTCCATGCCATGCTTCCTTGCTTCCTGCCAACTCTTCTTGACTGTGAGCTCCCCCAGGATGAGGCTGGTGTCCTAACCATCTCTAGGTCCCCAGAACCTGCCACAGGGCAGACGTAGTAAACTGTGAGCATCCAGCTTAGTTGTGGGAGACCAGCCCTAGAAACCAGCCAGAGGGTGTTGTTTCTACCCTGATCGCCTCACTCTGTGCTTCCCACCACCCTGGTCCATGGGGGTGATGCAGATTTACCATCAGCCCATCTTGGGAGAAGAAACAAGTGGGGCTTACCACCTGTCCCCCTACCTGTTCAATCAAACTGAATTGAAGTCTGCTCTGGAGCCAAGTCCAGAGAGAGTGGTCTGTTCAAGCAGGTGCAAATCAGGCTGGGTCCACTGGGCCCAGCCCTACTGTGTACATATGAGATGAATATGTCATGTATTATGTGGCCTGCAGTCACTTCCTGAAACGAGAAATTGCTTGTATTTAATTAAATAGGATCAAAATGACTTTTAAGCTGAAGTGATGATTGGTTTGTCTGTGTGTGTGTGTAAGTTTTTGGTGATATAAAACTTTATTAAAAGATTCATAAGCAGGGGCACCTGGGTGTCTCAGTTGGTTAAGCATCTGCCTTTGGCTCAGGTCATTATGCCAGAGTCCTGGGATCAAGCCCCACAGGGAGCCTGCTTCTCTCTCTCCTCCCTGCTCATGCTCTCTTTCACTATCTCTCTTTATCTCTCTCAAATAAATAAATAAAATCTTTAAAAAAAGATTAAAAAGATTCATATGCATAAAATATGAAGAACTCCAAAAGTTCTTCGTATAAGAAATAAGATAAATATATTTATAAGGAAAAGATAAGAAATAAATAATAAGATAATAAGAAAAAGATAAATATCCTAATTCTTTTAAATGGACAAAACACTCAAACAGGTACAAATGGACAATAGGTATATGAAAAGGTGCTCAACAGCCTTACCCATCAGCGACATGCAGATTCAAGCCACAATGATATACCATGGCATGCCCAGCATGGCACAAAGTAAAAAGACTGACAATATCAAGATATGGAGCAACTAGAACTCTCATGCGCTGCTGATGGCGGGGGGAGGTGTAAATTGTTTCAACCACTTTGTAAAACTGTGTGACAACTTTTGCTGAAGGAAAAGGTATGCCTCCTCTATGACCCAGCAATTCCACTCCAAGACAAACAGGTGCATATGTTCCATAAGAGACATATAGGAGAATGTTTATAGCAGCTTTATGCATCAGAGCTAAAAACTGGAAACAAGCTAGATAGTCCACCAATGATAGAATGGACAAATACATTGTGATACATTTGTATAGTCTGTGTACATTTCTACACTGTCAATTTAAAAAAATGAGCTACAACTACATTCAACAAGATGCCTCAATCTTAGGAACAATGTCAGGCTAAAGAGTACCTAGTGTGTAATTCCATTTATATCACGTTCAAAACTCTTGTTGGCAATAGAAGTCAGAACAGTGGTTACCCTGGTAAAGGGCATACTGAGGACATCTGGGGTGCTGGAAATGTTCTAGATCTTCATCTAGGAAGTAAAAATTCATCAATTGTTAAAAAACAAATAAACAAACAAACCACAGTTCCCTGAGGCTTGACAAGCCCCGGCTTTGGCCAGGCTCCGTGCTGGGCCCAGGGAAGCAGCAGGGACCACAGCCCCTGCTCAGCAGATCTCGGTCTGGTCACTGCCTTGGGTAGCTGCCCTTCCGTGTCACCTCCACAGACGGAGAAAATGGCCTCTGGTGTTTGTATTGCTTTGCTGGTGTTGTCATGAAGTACCACACACCGAGTGGCTGAAACAATACAAATGGATTGTCTTCAGTTGAGGAGGCTGGAAGTCTGAGATCAAGGTCCCACCAGCGCCCCGCTCTCTTCGAAGGCGCTCAGGAGGATCTGTGACAGGCCTCCCTCCTGGTTCCTTGTAGTTCCTTGGCTTGTGGCAGCGTAACTCTGATCTTCGCATGATGCTCTCCCTGCGTGCACGTCTGTGTCCAAATTTCCCACTTCCATAAGGACACTGGTCATATTGGACTAGGCCCTGCTCTCTATCACCTTATCTTTAATGACTGCAATATCTGCAATGACTCTATCTCCAAGATCACACCCGGAGGTACTGGGGGTGAGGACTGCAACATGTGAATGGGGGGGAGGGGCAGGTACACAATTCAACTTACGACTATGGTGTTGGAAACTATGCCCTTGGCAGGACGACAGCAGCTGCAGGACTGGGGGGGATATGAGTCCCGAGGCCCAGCTGGTGGGAGAGGAGGGGCTGGTCTCTGGGAATGGAGTGACGGACGTGGTCTGGACATGGTTTGGGAAGTGATGAAGCACAGGACCTGGGTTTGAATCCCAACCTCTCCTATAATGATAACACCTGCCATGGGCTGAGCACTGACTGGACAGGCACCATACTCTTCGCATATAACCACGTCCCAGCTGTAAAGCACATGCCATTTCCTACTTTCGCATGAGGACGTGGAGCCTCGTAGCTGCCCAGAAACACACAGCAAGAAAGTGGCAAAGCCAAGATATGCAGCCAGGGCTGACCCCCATGGCCTTTTCCCAGCACACTCCAAGCCTCTTTTCATCTCTCTGAACCTGTTTCCCCGCCTCTAAAACTGGGCCAAAAGGGAGCTGTGAGGATTCAGCAAGATACCTTACCACCAGACACACAGCACGTACTGGCTAAGAGTTTCTTTTCTCTTCCCCACACACACCTATGCTCACGGAGGAGGCTGCAAAGGGTGAAGCCTTTCCAGTAGCCTCTTCAGACCGAAGTGACCAGGCCTCGGTGTTCCTGGCTCAGAGTCAGTCCTCAGAGCACTACAATAGCAGACCAGCTGTGGGCCGCTTGCCTGGCCTCTGCCGCCGCTTCTCCAGGGAAGGTGTGATCCAGCGGGGCCCCAGCGCAAGGGAAAGGCCAGCACTGAAGAAGCCCCCATTAGACGTGGGATGACCGCATCAGAGCACGGATGAACCCAGAGATGGGCGGGAGAATACAAGAAAGGAAGAAGACAGATTGGTGCACGGGAGGCAAGAAAGATACATGGAATGAACCGGATGCACGGAAGGCTGGATGGATAGGTGGAAAGACAGAACGACGGATGGATGAAGAGACGAACGGACGAACCGACACACAAAATATGTGGGGAAATGGATGAATAGGCAAAGAGGTGGATGGAAAAATAGGTGGGGTGATGAATAGGTGGCCGAGGAAGAGGGGCGGGAAGGCAGGAAGCGGCAGGCTGCCCAGAGAGGAACGTGTGGGGGAACAGACGGATGGGGAAGGGGGTGAAGAAGTTTCTTGGAGTTCGAGGACCACTGTGCGGCAGGATAGGCCCGGCCCGCAGGGGCTTTGCGTCCTCTCCCCACCCGCAGCTAGACCCACTGCACCCCCTCCCTGTTCCACCGGCCTAAGCTTCCCCACTGTGAGAGCCTGCGGCCGCCGCCCCAAACAACGCTGGGGCGCGGGAGGGGCGGGCACCCGGCGGGCGCGGGGCGGGCGCGGGGCGGGCGCGGGGGCGGTCCCGGTGCCCAGCCCGGCCCCGCCCCGGGAGGCGGCCGCCTGGCAGCGCGGAGACCGTGGGCGCCGCGCCACCGGGAGCACGCAGCGCCGCGGGAGCCCGGCTCGGTGAGCGCAGCGGGGGCTGCAGGGGGCTGCGGGGGCTGCGTGGGCAGGGGGCGCGCTGGGGGGGGGTGCCCAGAGGACACGCCCGGAGCTGCCGGGGCCGGGGCTGCTCTCAGTCGGGGGCACCGTCTCCTGCCCGTCCCGGTGAGGCGATGCGGCCGGGGTGGGTCCCTGACGCCCGTCCCCCAGTTTCTTTCACCAAATCCTACTTTGGGTCCCCAGTGATCTGGATCCAGGCCGACCCATTTATTGAGATCCCATCAAAGTTCGCGAATGTTCTCTGAGCTCAGTTTCCAGCTCTGGGTGATGGGAACAGTAGCCTCTCATGCTCAGGACTGCCAGAGTTCAGTGCCGCGGCGGCTGGGGTCAGCCCGGTGCTCAGCCGCGGCGCTCCCAGATGCAGAAGAGCTCTTAGTGGATTCATGCAGTCAGCTGCTACTCAGCACCTGCTCGGCCCAGCGCTGGTCCAGGTGCTGGGGGCACCGCAGTGAACAAGGCCCTCCTGGAGCACGCTTTCCGGTGCTTTGCCAAGGGCTCTGGCATCTGGTCTTTCATGACCACCCCCTGAGGTAGACGGAACACCAGGGTTATTTGGGTCCATTTTACAGCTGTGGATACCGAGGTGCAGTGAGGTTTTAAGGATTTTGCCTAAGGGCACACCCAGTCTTCATCACAAAAAGAAGCATCCCCATAGACTAGCAAGATGGTTCTGATCCCAGAGACCAGTCCCCAGAACAGAGTCCTGGGTAGAGAAGGGCTCCACTGTGGGGCTGCATCCTCTCCCCTCCCTACAGGGGAATTAGACTCATCCCCTGTGATGACTCAGATTTGGGGTGTCTCCCCACTGTTAAACCCGTGAGTGCCAGTGTTTGTGCGGGGTATGACTGGGTCCCTCACTTGGAACTTTGGAGTACAGGGCAGTGACAACGGAGACCGAAAGATACAGTCCCTATAGCTGTCAGGGTCCCTGCCCCATGACCCCACCAGCAACAACAACCATGGGGCTCATCACTCAGTCACTCAGTGCCCATTCTTTTCTACAGCCAGTAGACATCATGCAGGGCAGAGACACCATCTCTGTATCCGCAGGGCCTGGCAAACGGCTGGCCCACCAGTCCTGGTTGCTGCCATGATTAATGATGATAATGATGATGATCTGACCCCTGGTGCACGCCTTGTCCTCAGGTGGAGCAGGAGGTGGGGTGGGATGAAGATGGTGACAGTGACTGACAGCCTGGCTCGTTTGAAGTCTGGAGTGAGGAGAGCAGGACCCGCGGTCCTGGACCCCAGGGTTCACGCACCTGACCCTGAAGCCAGCAGAGGGCTTGGACAGACCTGTACTGCCAGCCACCTGCACGGGGGGGGGGGGGGGGGGCGGGCGGGAGAACCAGAGGCAGCAGGTGTCAGGGTAGAGGCGGTGCGGCACTCGGAATCGCGTGCGGGTTTCCAAGCCTTTTGGATCCCATGTGGTTTCCTCCTCCTCATCTCCTCCCTCTATTTCTCCTTCTCTCTTCCTCGTCCTCCTCTCCCTCCTCTTCCTTCTACCTCTTTCTCCAGGAAGCCCTCCCCATCTTCCCAGTCAGAAAGCAGTCACCTCCCAGTCTGGTGGGGTTCCCCTGGGCCTGATTTGATCTGTCTTCCTCTGGTACTACACGGGAACTCGGATTTTAAGGAACCGGTAGAGAAACCAGGAATGCTTGGTATAAACCTCAGCTATGCAGTGTGACTTTGGGCCTCAGTATCCAAAGCTGTAAAACCCAAGGCCTGACTGCCTTTGTCTCTGACTCTCTCCAAGGGAGGCAGCAGCTACCTTGAAAGTTCTCAAAATTCTGCAAGGGACAGGTTCACTGGGAAGTCAGAGCATCTCTAATCCTCACCAGGAATTCCCCTTAGTCTGATAATCCACATGACTTGAGACAACTCTAGAATGTTCTTTCTTTTGTTTTTCTCTACAGGTAGACAGATCCTCGGTCTGCATGGATCAGTAGAGGATGAAGGCCAACCCAGCAGGCTCCTCCTCAGAGGCCTGCAGAGCTGCAGGCCAGGGCGAGAAGAGCTGCCCTGTCTGCCAGGCTTGGGGAGGAGTCTCAGGCCTGGGGTCTGAGTCAGGGATTGGCCCCGGGCTGGGTGCAGTTTCAGGACATGGACCAGGGCCTACTACAGTTCTGGGGCCGGGGCTGGGGCTTGGTGCTGTGTCCAGACCTGGGCCAGGGCCCGGTGTGGTTCTAGAACCTGGACCAGGGCCTGGTGCTGGGTCCAGACCTAGGCCGGGGCCCGGTGTGGTTCTAGAACCTGGACCAGGGCCTGGTGCTGCGTCTGGACCTGGACCAGGGCCTGGTGCTGTGTCTGGACATAGGCCAGGGTCTGGTGCTGCTTCAGGACCTGGGCCGGGTCTGGGGCCTGGGCCAGGAGCTGGGTCAGTCCCTGGGCCGGTACCTAGGCCAGGAGCTGCAGCATTACCTGGGCCAGGGGTAGAGCCTAGGCCCAGACGGGGGTCTGGAACTGGGCCCAAACTCAGTGAGCCAGAGACAGCTTCCACATCAGCACCACGGCAGAAGACTCAGGCCACACACAGGCAGGCCCCTCGGCAGAAGGTTCTGGTGACTGGAGGAGGAGGCTATCTGGGCTTTAGCCTGGGTTCCAGCCTGGCCAAGAGTGGCAGTTCTGTCCTACTGCTCGACCTCCGCAGACCGCAGTGGGAGCTGTCCCCAGGGACCGAGTTCATCCAGGTGCAGTGATGAGCGTTTTGGGGGGCGCTGGTGGTGAAGGTGTGGGGACCAGCCCAGGCTGGTGGTGGAGGCATGGGGACAGTGTCTGATGTGAAACCAGTGAAGAGCACAGGCTCTTGGAGTGGGACTATTTAAGCTTTGACCCCTTCCCCGCCGGGCAGCCATGGCCACAAGGCTCCACATCTCTGAGCTTCCGTGTCCTCATCCAGGGAAGAAGACTTCTTATGGGGAGTCACAGCGCGCGTAAAAACAGCAAGCACAGCCCCTGCGACTTAGCTTGATAAATGGGGCCAGTGGTGGTGATGAAGCCAAAGAGGCCCTGTAGAATCATATAGTAACTCTTGCCCCACAGCTTCTCCTACAGGTGCTTGGCCAGGGTGGGATCAGAGGCCCAGCTCTGGGACCTGGCAAGGTGCACAGTTGGTATCTCTGCCTCGGACCCGAACCTTCTGTCCGCATCTTCCTTCTCTGTTTCAGGCGGATGTCCGCGATGAAGAAGCCCTGTATCGTGCCTTCGAAGGGGTGGACTGTGTCTTCCACGTGGCGTCCTATGGAATGTCCGGTGCTGAGAAGGTGAGCCCCCCACATACAACACCTGGAGTTAGAGCAGGGTTCAGATCCTGGTTCTGGCCACACACCCTCCTTCATGCCGTGTATTCATTATCGCCCTTCACCTAATCCAGGAAGGATTTACATGATACCCGGTCTGCATTTTGCATCCATGGGACCAAATGCCAGTTCTGCTGCTTTCTAGCTTTGGGACCTAGAGCGAGTTAACTTAACCTCTCTGAGCCTCTGTTTCCTCGTTTGTGCTAGTATTCACGTCAGAACCTCCTCGGTGTGTGGGTACCTGTCAAAACATACGGATACCCTTGGGCTCCGAAATCACACTGTGCCTATATTTGCAGCATTGTTCATAATAACAAAACACAGGAAGTAACATCACTTACTATGCCCATCAGTTAAGGACTACTTAAATAAATTGTAAGGTATCCATTGAAATTCTACACAGCCATTCAAAAGAATGAAGTAAGTCAGTATGTGCTGGTAATAGAATAATTTCCATGGCACAAAAACAGTGTTTGATATCCTCCTGTTTGTAAAAAAAAAGAAGCAGCAGCAGCTAGGATAAATATTTATATGCTCACACATGTGTATGTGCTGATATTAATAAGTATAGATTATGGGGGCGCCTGGGTGGCTCAGTCGTTAAGCGTCTGCCTTCGGCTCAGGTCATGATCCCAGGGTCGTGGGATCGAGCCCCGCATCGGACTCCCTGCTCAGCGGGAAGCCTGCTTCTCCCTCTCGCACTCCCCCTGCTTCTGTTCCCTCTCTTGCTGTGTCTCTCTGTCAAATAAAAAAATAAAAATAAAAAAATAAAAAAAATAAGTATAGGTTATGTCTAGAAATACACGGACTGTAACAATAACGGTGGTTGCCTCTGTGGGGGGGTGGGAGGGGAGGCAGGAATCAGGAGTGGGAAGGAAATTTTCTTTTTCCCGTACACCCTTTTTACTGTTTTTTTTACTGTTAGGGTTTTTTTTAATATTCTATTTTTTTATTTAATATATTTTTTAGTATGTTATTTATTGAGAGAGGGCAAGGGGGAGAGGCAGAGGGAGAGGGAGAGAGAGAATCTCAAGCAGACGCGGCACTGAGACTGGAGCCCAATAGAGGGCTCGATCCCACGACCCTGAGATCATGACCTGAGCTGAAATCAAGAGTTGGTCGCCTTGGGGCGCCTGGGTGGCTCAGCTGTTAAGCGTCTGCCTTCGGCTCAGGTCATGATCCCAGGGTCCTGGGGTCAAACCCTGCATCGGGCTCCCTGCTCGGCAGGAAGCCTGCTTCTCCCTGTCCCACTCCCCCTGCTTGTGTTCTCTCTCTCGCTGTGTCTCTCTCTGTCAAATAAATAAAATCTTAAAAAAAAAAAAAAAAGAGTCGGTCGCCTAACCGACTGAGCCACCCAGGCGCCCCTATTTGAGTTATGTTTAACTTTGCAATTGTATTACCTATTAAACAAAAACAACTGCAGTGAGAATAAATATAGTTTAAAAATTGACACAGAACCCACGTCCAGGTTGGTTGTGAGAATTAAGTGAGACGTAAAGGCTTCTCCCTGTCCCAGGAAACACAAGCAGCTCTCTCTGTGTAGACAGAACCTCGCTAGAACATGAACAGTGTTACCCTGTCCATCCGACGGCTAAGGAAACCCAGACTGGCAGAGTGAGGAAATGATCCAACACATTTTGGGTCCCTTTTCTGTGTCACACACTGTACCCAGTCCTGCCACGGGTGTATTCAGTCCTGCCGACCACCCGAGGGGGTCTGCCGTCACTTCACAGACGAGGGGGCTGAGGGCCGCCCCGGGAGACCGTGGCAGAGCTGGGCACCAGGGCCCAGGGCTCCTGCACTCAGATCCCTGCGGCCGAGCCCGACATCCTGCAGCCCCCGCCCGGCCCCACCCTAAGCCCACCTTACGGCCTCCGTGGCCTCCTCGAGGAGGTCTGAGCAGCACCACCACTTTCCCACCTCCCTCTTGTCTTTTAGCTGCAAAAAGAGCAGATTGAGTCTATAAATGTTGGAGGCACCAAAGTAGTGATCAATGGTAGGCACTCAGAGCTCAGTGTGGCCTGCTGTGTGTTTCCTGCTTCTGTCCCCTTTCCTGCCACAGGCCCAGCTCTGGGGCCAGGGGAGGGGAGGAGAGGTGGGACCCTCCTCCCCTCCCCCTGCCCACCCCAGCGGAGGGCCTGTGGGCAGCACATCCTAACTGTGCTGTGGACCTGCCCGGGCCCGCACGTGGGGTGGGTCAGCGTGGCCACAGCCTGTCTGGGGACACAGGCAGCGCGGGGTTTGCATTTCAGGGATTAAGGGTTAGAAAAGTCACTGAAATACAAGACCCACATCTGAGTTCTCTGGGCATGCGACATCCTGTTTTTCTCTCTGATTCTAGAGTGTCTTTTTTTCTGTGCCCCCATCGAGTGAGACTTTCTTCTGACTGGTCCCCTGCAAGGTAGCTCAGGGCCCAGGGCCATCCTGGGGAGGAGTGAGCCAGCCTGGCCCCCAGGGCCTCACAGAGCAGGGATTGACCCATCCCCCTCCCCTCCTGAGCATCTCTGGATTCTGGGCCAGGGGCCAGGACGTGTGTCCAAGACTGGGTCCCAGTGGGCACCTCCTCAGCCAACTCCCACTCATGTTGGCCGTGTGCGTGTGCGTGTGTGTTGCTGCGTGCGCCCCTGTCACTGCAGTCTGTGTCCGTCGGCGGGTCCCAAGGCTCATCTACACCAGCACGGTCAACGTCGTGTTCGGCGGGAAGCCCATAGAACAGGGTGATGAGGACTCTGTGCCATATTTCCCACTGGAGAAGGTACGTGGCTTCCAGGAGAGGTGGGCGGGGCCACTGGGCAGGGATGGGTGGAAACCAGGGTCAACCTCACGACTCAGGGTGAGCCCCATGAAGAAGGGGTCCCCAAAACTGAGTAGCACAAGCCTTCTCCTATTTCAGCTGGTCATGCCAGCAGGGGGTTTGCAATCCCACAGACCTGGCCTTGAGCCAGCCAGGCCATGTTCTACCTGTGGGACTCTGCACAAGTCACTTTACTCTGAGCCTCTATTTCTTCATCTGGTCGTGACCACTCCACCCCGTGGGTGTGTGGCGAGCAGGAAATGAGATGATGTATGTGAAAAAGCCACGGACACTAAAGAACCAACTGCAAATAGTCCATCCAGCCCACGTGCGGCATCCGCATCCCAGAGCAAGCCCTGGGGGCCGGCAAGAGCCTCCCTGAGTAGAGGGATCCTGGTTGTCACTGCTCTGAACTCTGCTCCTGTCGCTCCCACCCCGGGGGGGGAAGAAAAGCACGGGGGCTCAGGGCCCCAGGGGGGTCCCCAGAATTTGACCCCTGTGTCGTCTGAAGCAGAGGGGCAGGCCCAGTGCCGGGTGGGCTGGGCAGGCTTCCCCAGCAGGGTCACTGACCCCTGCCTGGTGGCTCCCTTCTCCCTTCCTCTGGCAGCACGTGGACCACTACTCACGAACCAAAGCCATCGCTGACCAGTTGACCCTCATGGCCAACGGAACACCTCTCCCAGGTGAGTATCGTGGGGCCCTGCTGCCGCCCCCAGAGTGCACGGGGGAGTGCGGCTTTTAGCTTCTGTGTCTCTGAGGCTCACCTTCCTTCAATAGGACAGCTCCCCAGGGCCTTCAGCCCTCATCACTCCACAAATTCTGAACACCTGCTGTGTGCCCGAACCCACTAGGGATACGGTCCCGAGAAAGTCAGGTGCAGTTCTGCCCTGTCCTCGTGTTGCTCACGGTCTTGAGTGGACCAAGAGACTGGATAGAAGTGGGTCTTTTTTCTGCCACGTGGGAGTGGATCTCTCCACTCTCTCAAATAAATAAATCTTAAAAAAAAAAAAAAAAAGAATATGGACAGGTGTAAGTATGACACAGTAGCTTCTCCCACACACGGGCTTAGACTGAAGTGAGTTCAAATCCCGACACCACCACCTCTTAGCTTTGTGATGTGATCTTGGGCAGTATCCTTTTTTCCATGCCTCAGGTTCCTCATCTGTAACAAAATGCGGGTGATAGTAGAATCTACCTCGAAGAGCTTTTATGAGAATAAAATAATAACAGGCAGTTGCCTGTTTAAAAGGAAGAAAAAAGAATATGGACAGTTTGCATTTACCGAGCACTTGCTATATGCCCGGCCCTGTTTTACATGCTAATTTTATTTTATTTTATTTTATTTTTTTAAGATTTTATTTATTTATTTGACAGAGACAGCGAGAGCAGGAATACAAGCAGGGGGAGTGGGAGAGGGAGAAGCAGGCTTCCCGCCGAGCAGGGAGCCCGATGTGGGACTCGATCCCAGGACCCTGGGATCATGACCTGAGCCGAAGGCAGACGCTTAATGACTGAGCCACCCAGGTGCCCCTACATGCTAATTTTATATGCAAGTTTCCCAGTAACTCTTTACAGCATCCATGCGAGCTAAGAACCTGAGGGATCCCCTGCTTCCCAAACTGAGGAGCCAGATTGATTTGGAGAGCGAGGGATGCTTGCAACTATAATCCATGGATTTACGGGGGATGAGGCTGAGGCTAAGGGGTGAACTGACTTCGTTAAGGTCACATAGCTATTAGGTGGCAGAGGTGGGATTTGAACCCCCCACCCCGACACCAGGGGGGTCTAACACCAGAGCCTGGAGCCTGGATCTGAACCATCGTGCTTCACTGTAGCCACAGCTGAGCAGGCCATTGAGCATGGGTTCTTTTCCGTAAAACCCTCCCCACCCTACCCTGGCACCCTGTGGACCTATCAGGCCTTGACCCCTGATCCCAGTGGGAACACACATCCAGCTGTGTTTTCCCAGGGGTTTGACCCTGGGTGGTTGACTTCTTTTCTCTGCCTGGGGCCTTCTCTGGCTAGACCAGCAGCCTGCTAACCAGACACTTAATCCTTTGGCCAAGAATTATTTATACGAGCATCCCCAGCTTTCCGTGGTCAGGAGTCATGGATACTCTGAGCTCCGCCCCTCTGTGACGTAGCTGCCCAGCGCCCCGCCAGCCAATGTCAATTGCAATCAGACCTCCCCCCGACCATGCCCAGGTGACCCAGAGTTTAAAATTAGCTGCAGGCTGTTTACAGAAAAGCTCACCTGATACCTGCCTTCCAGGAGTCCAGCCATGGTCACCCTGGGTGATTTCCAGTCCCTGCTAACACAAGCTGGTCCCTGAGACTCTGCCTCTGACCCAGCATGGAGGGCCCCGGTCTCTGAAGCAGAGCCCCAAGACTGCAAATCTCAGCTCAGTACAAACGGGACAATGGACGGCAAACTTGGTGGCTTAAAACTGAAATGTGTTCTCTCATGGTTCTCACAATTCACAGTCGGGTGTCTGAGACCAAGTTGGGCTGCACTCCCACCAAAGGCTCTAGGGGAGAACCTCCTTGTCTCAGCAGTTTATGGTGGCCCCACTCATTCCTTGGGGTCCACGTGTCTCTTCTCTGTGAGTCCCTTATAAGGACTCACGTTGGATTTGGGGCTCACCGGATAATTCAAGATGATCTCATTTTGAGATCCTTAATTACATCTGCAAAGACACTCTTCCAAATCCGGTCATATCCACAAGTTGTGGGATGTGGACATATCTTTTCGGGGGCCACCACTCAACCCACTCTACTGGCCTCATGGTAAAGTGAGGATACTGGCGGGGAAGCAGTCAGGGTGTTTGGCTATGACCCAAGACACCGGCCCTGGCTAAGTTGCCAGGAAAAGGAACTTAGAGTGGAAGGATGTGGGATCGTTTCTGGAAAATATATTTCCAGAAAAATGACTACCAGGGCTTGGAAAGGATAGGGTTGGGGAAGCTCCAGGGACTGGGTGGCAGGAGCTGGTGACCAGTCTCTTCAGGGTGAACCCATTCATAGGATTTTAGATCCTGGTGTCGGTGATGCTGAGAGTCACGTTCTTGGGTGAGAATATGTCATGGACCCAGCTTGAGTCCCATGGCCACCACCTCAGGAGAGAGTGAGGCATCTGGCACATCCAGACTGACAGCCCCCTAAGACTTTGTGCAGAGGGGGAGGGGCCCCCAAAGGAAGATGCTGTACACTGTACAATGGGTGCAGTTGACTCTCAGGGGAGTCAAAGGAAATTACATCTATCGAGTGCCGGGTAAACTCATGGGCCGCGTACATATCTGCATCCAGGTCTTACCTCTGGTTACTGGCCTGTGAGTGTCATGAGGGCAGGAACCATTTCTTGATTATTCTTGGATTCTCCTCTTGGTTATCCTTGGATTCCCGGGGCCCAGTGCTGGGGGTAGAGGTCGGGCAACCTCTGAATGTTGTTTGTTAAATGACTAACAGATTGAGAATACTTGAATAAGGAAACCCCAAGGGCCTGTCTTCCCTGCTAACCTGTCCAGGCAAGGACCAGAAGGTGTGGACAGCATTTCTGTGTGTCTCTCCCTGCTGGGCCACCCCTCCCCGGGTCCCTGACCACCCTCCTTGTGTCCTAGGAGGAGGCACTCTGCGGACATGTGTGCTCCGACCCCCAGGGATCTATGGCCCTGAAGAGCAGAGGCACCTGCCCCGCGTGGCGGTATGTCAGCCCAGCCCCGGCCCTGAGACTCAGGATGAATCTGGCTGCTGTGTGCATGGATTGGGGCCCTTCCAGTCCACAGTCACTGTGTTGGTCTTGGGGCAACGTCCTGAGCCTGCGGCTCTTAGCTCTGGGAGCTGTCCCTACCCCTAGCAGACCCACCAGGAACAAAGGTCTCAGTGTGTGCCTGCCAGGGTTAGGCACAGGTCGGGGAGTCCCGGAGCTATGACCCCAAAGAGGCAGAGGGAGGCTGTTGTCCCTCCTCAGATGTGGGCTCCCTGGTGGCCAGATGGCTCATCCCGTGCTGCCAGCACAAGGGTCTTCAAATAGGAAGCCCCTCTCCAGGGAGAGTCAGGTGCCAGCGACAGAGCTACGAGGGACTGTAGGCCTTGTCCTCAGATTGCTCACAGCCTGGTCGGGAGACAGGAGGCACCGTCACAGAACCAGTGTGGCCAGGGCTACATGGAGGGAAGAATGAGAATACGGGAGCACAGCAGAGGGAGCCTGGCAGGGGAGGTCCAGGATGATGCCTGTGCTGTTTGGAAAGGGAAGAAAGAGTGAACCAAGGAAATGGGGTGGGAGAGGGAAGGTGGTCCAAACGGGGCAGGCAGCTTGGGTACAAACCCGGGAATGAGAAAGGGCGCTGCTCGGGGCTTTGCGACAGGTTAGTGAGCAGAACAGAGGATTCCTGCCCTTGTGGGGCTTATATTCTCCCAGGAGATGGGTAATAAACATGATACATGATAAGGGGTGTTTGAAGGTGCAAGGTGCGTTGGAAAAATGATGGAAAAGGGAAGCAGGGTGTGGGAGCTGGGCGCCCGGGCAGCCGGGGAGCCTCATCAAGCAGGTGGCAGGGTGCATCACACCAGGTTGGAGGGACAGCCTTCCAGGCAGAGGGAAGTCCGAAGCCCCGAGATGGGACCCTGCCGCACATGCCGCGGGGAGCCCGTGTGGCTGGAGCTGAGTGGGCAAGGGAGTTTATAGCAGACAGTCGGAGGGTAGCTGGGCCAGAGCAGAAGGGCCCCCTCGGCTGTTGTCGAGACTTCTTTTGGCAGCGTGGGCGTCCAGAAGGTTCTGAGCAGGAAGACACAGGATCTAAGATTCAGGGGGATCCCCCTGGCTGTGTGGAGAACAACTGCAGGGACTGTGGATGGAAGTGGGGACCAGTTCGGAGGCTCTTTCGGTCTCCAGGTAGAAAAGAGGGGCAGCAGTTGGGGCGGTGAGAAGCAGGGGGATTCTGGATAGTGTTGAGCCAACTGGATTTGCAGATGAGTTGGGCGTGGAATGGAGAGAAGGGAAGGCCAACGGAGGCCCCAGGGTTTCAGCCTGAGCCGCAGAGTCCTGTCTAGTGAGATGGGGTTGGGGGGGGGGGCTTGACCAGGAGCTGGAAGGTCAGGCGCTCGCTCCAGGACACGGACAAGTGACCACCACATGGAGACATCGGGACATGGGTCTAGGGCAAAGGGGTCTGGCCTGGAGCTAGAAATGTGGGAGCCATCATCATATAAATGGTATTCAAAGCCACTCCAGACTTGAGTCTGTGTTTATCACCCCCTCCAGAGCCACATCAAGAAGAGGCTATTCATGTTCCGATTTGGGGACCGCAGGACACGGATGAACTGGGTCCACGTGCACAATCTGGTGCAGGCACACGTGCTGGCAGCTGAGGCCCTCACCACGGCCAAGAGCTACGTGGCCGTGAGTCTCCTGCAGTGTTGTCCCCACCTTCCCCCCGAGCTGGCTACGGGCAGGGTACCCCATCCCTAGGGGACTCCTGGCTCACATACATTTCACCCCAACTCAAGATGGTCGGTGGGACTGTAGGCTCAGGGAAGCTCGGGGTGAGGGGCTCTTTATAGAGCATCATTAGCTCCTTGCAGTGACCCTGTGATGTAGGTGTTGTTGGTCCTGAAGTCATGGTCACCGAATGCTAAGCATTTTATATACACCATCCCGTGTAATCTTCACAATAGCCCAAGAGGGAGACCCTGTTATTTTCTTCCCATTTCTCAGATGAAGGACCTGAGGTACAGAGAGGTTAAGTGACTCTATTGAGGTCACACAGCCAGTCAGGGTGGCAGCCTCAGAATTCAAAGGGAATTGCCCAGGTCTGTCCCCAGGGCTGGGGAATGGCCATGACTCCTCAGTGGCTGCTCAGGAGAATTGGGGAGATCGGGGCAGCTGCTGAGCCATCTGAAAGGGTGGGGTCAGGCTGGGGAGCAGATGCCTCACTGTCCCCCTCCCTGTGTGTCCCCTCAGAGTGGCCAGGCATACTATATCAATGATGGGGAGAGTGTCAACCTCTTCGAATGGATGGCCCCGCTGGTAGGTGTCCAGACATCCACCCACCCCCACCCCGAGTGAGGATTCAGGGATTCTGCACATCTTCTCTCCTTGTCATCCTTTCCTCCATCCAGAAAATCAGAAGCTTTCACATTAAAAACCAGCTCTGGTGATAGTGTCCACTGGGCAACACTGAAACAGGCTAGAGCTGGGTGTGGCTGCCTCTTTGGGGGACCATGTACTCCCCTGGGTTGCCATAGTCCCTCCCAGCCTGACTCCTGATTTATGTTGACTTGCCCTGTGTGTGTTTGCTTGTGACACCCCCATACTGTGTGACAAAGCTCCACAAGGGGTAAGTAGAAGGTAAACTGAAGCACAGAGGGAGGTGTTGCCCCTGGGGCTTCCTATGCTGCCGCCCTTCGGAGAACCCTGGCCTCCTCATCCAGTACCCTACAGACCCCTTCTTGGGGCCAGGGCTGCCTGGAAGGGGTCGACCAGCAGCCCCGTGCCGGAGGATCCATCCTGTGGCATTCAGGCACATCAATGTCAACAGCTTTATTGAGATATTATTCATATACTGTACGATTCACCTATTTAAAGCACATAATTCGATGGTTTTTCATATATTCAGTGTTGTGCAACCATCACCATAATCAATTTTAGAATATTTCCTCATCCTCCAAAAAAGAACTCCCCCCGCAAAATTATGCCTTTACCCCAATCCCACCCCAAGCCCCATACAACTCCTAGTCTACTCTCTGTTTCTGTAGACTTGCCTCTTTGGACATGTCCTGTAAGTGAAATCATACAATATGTGAACGATTGTGTTAGGCTTCTTTCATTTGACCTCATGCCTTCAAAGTGCATCCATGTGTAGCCTGCATCCTTTCAGTATTCATTCCATTCTATTGCCAAAAAATATTCCCTTCTAGGGATATACCACATCTTGTTACTCTTTTCATCAGTTGATAGAACTAGGGGTTTTCTACTTTGGGGCTCCTATGAAAATGCCACTGTGAACATTAGTGTATACATATTTTGTGTACGTATGTTTTCATTTCCCTTGGGTGTGTACCCCGGGGTGGTAGTGCTGGGTCTGGTGGTAGCTCTCTGTTTAAATTTTTTTTTTAAACATTTTATTTATTTATTTGACAGAGAGACACAGCAAGAGAGGGAACACAAGTAGGGGGAGTGGGAGAGGGAGAAGCAGACTTCCCGCGGAGCAGGGAGCCCGATGCAGGGCTTGACTCCAGAACCCTGGGATCATGACCTGAGCTGAAGGCAGACATCTAACAACTGAGCCACCCAGGCGCCCCTCTGTTTAAATTTTTGAGGAACTGCTGCACTATGACGATGCGTTTGGTGGCGGGCAATGTCAGTAGTCACTAAATGATGTGAATGATCCCAGGTTAAAAACCGACCCATGCATTTAAGCCCAACTTGACTTTTCTAGATCAAAACTTTCCATTTCAAGACTGGCGCAGGGTTGGGGCTCGCTGTGGGGTTTTTCCCCCTTGGGTGGCCGAGTGGTACCTCTGCTCACCCCCAGGGTAAAGAGAACATGTGGCCTTTCCACACTGGCCCCCGGAAGACCTGTTCTCATCTCGGGCCATGTTTCCTTGCAGTTTGAGGAGCTAGGGTACAGCCAGCCCTGGATCCAGGTGCCTACTTCCTGGGTTTACCTAACAGGTAAGGAAAAGAGTATGCGTAGTAAAATCCCTCCATGAGCCGGGTACATATGCATCACCTCATTTCAGACCCAGGGCCAGGACTAGGTGGAGGTGGATGAGGCACTGAGGGCGCAAAATTTCAGGAGACCATCACTCTCGTGGGCAGGTGCTCCGAGCCCGATCTGCCCTTGCCTGGCAGCCTCCTCACCCTCGTCCTGGCCCAGTATAAACCCTGTCCTACCTGCAGGGTGGGTGTGATTGGGCCACAGTGAGAAAGCGGGACAGGCAGAATTCACACCTGGGCTTGGCCGGCCCCGTGGCCCGTGGTGGGAGGCATCATGCCAGTCAGGCGGAGAGGGAGCCCTGGGGCCACCTTGTCCCCTGAGGTCACCCCGAAGTCAAGGCTGCTTTTGGGGTCTGTGAAGTTTCCTCCTCACCCTTCAGGTCTGCCTCTAACTCTCACCACCCTGCCCTCCATCACCACCTCTGCTGGCCTCCTTCCAGCTGGAACGCAGACCAAGGGCCAGGCACGGTGTGGTCAGCCCGAGGGGACAATGACCCTCAAGTCACAAACAGCTGCATTCCTGGAAGACCTTAGCTATAGATCTGTTCTATTTTAAGTGCACTGGGATGCTTGCCATTTAAAGCAGGGATCTGCCAACTTTTGCCCACCAGGCCACACATGCGGGGTGACTTCTCATGTCCAGCGTTGCCACAGTGACTGATGCTCTTTGACCCCCAGGTGGGAAAAGATCTGCCACCAGTTCTGATAGTTTTACAGGATTGTATATACATTTCCAGTTCCTCGCGAGCTAACTAGCACCCACTAGTTCGTAACTCTGCACATCTGAATCACTGGGGAGCTTATAAAATATCAAAATGCCTCAGTGGCCCCCCAGACCCACTACATCAGCAGCAGCAAGAGGAAAGGGGCGGGGGAAGCATGAGCATTTTTAAAAGTGGTCCAGTGTGCCACCCAGATTAAGAACTTCTGCTCCAACTTCTCTCTCTCTTCCTCAAGAGACCACACTGGAATAGAAGTGAGTGAAAGGAGGAGGCATGATTTGAGCTGTGAATCTGCTCTATTTTCAAATGTCAGTCCTTTAATATTAACGACAACTTGCTTGTGACACACTTCATAGCCAAACAAGGCCCCCCGGCGCGTGCTGAGAGCTGCTGATTTAAAGGAATCCAAGGACGGGAATTTGGCAAAGTGAAGAGACGCGCCCCCCCCTCCCCGCAGCAAAGCAAATAATGCCCCCAACTGATTTGTCCCTGAGGGCCTCCCCGGAGCTTGCACGGAGGGAGGCACCCTGGTCATTGGCCCCTGTCTCCCGCACAGCCGCTGTGATGGAGTATTTGCACCTGGCCCTGAGGCCCATCTACAGCGTCCCCCCACTGCTCACCCGGAGCGAGGTAAGGGGGCTGCTGCTGGGGTGGTTCCTGTTCCACACCCCCACTGGCCCCTCCCTTCACCCCTTTGATGCCATAACAGGATGCTTGTCTGAGGTCTCAGAACCTTCCAGGTGGGCCCAAATCTAGCACTAGCTTCTTTAGAATCTTCCCAACCTCTGGGCTTTTGCTTAGGCTGTGCTCTCTTGGTCTGAAATGCAATGAGCTTGGAGCCTGTCCCTCATCCCTGCCACTTTGTTCTTAAGCAGCATATCTTCGCTGCCAGACTGGAGGCTCCCAAAGGCAGATTCGGTAACTTTCACGTTTTTGAATGCCACCCACCGGCGCCACCAACTCTCAGGACAACGTGCCCATGGAGCCTGGTGCCTCTAGGTGCACCATGCTTACTGAATAATAAGTATATATTAAGTGCCTACTGTGTCCAGAATACTATTCTTAAATGCGGATGATGCAGTTTTCTATTAGCACATATAGTTTTTAAAAGAGGACTTTTTATTTGTCATAGAGAGAGCACAAGCAGGGGGAGCGGCAGGCAGAGGGAGAAGCAGACTCCCCACTGAGCAAGGAGCCCAATGCAGAACTCCATCCCAGGACCCTGGGATCATGACCTGAGCCGAGCGCAGACGCTTAACCAACTGAGCCACGAATTTATTTAGAGAGAGCGCGCGTGCAAGTGGGGGGAGGGGCAGAGGGAAAGGGAGAGAGACTCTCAAGCAGACTCAGCGCTGAGCACGGAGCCCTACTCAGGGCTCAACCTCATGACCCTGGAATCATGACCCCTGAGATCATGACCTGAGCCGAAATCAAGAGTCGAAACTTAACCAACTGAGCCACCCAGGAGCCCCGAAAAGAGAGGATGTTTTAATGAAGATTATAAAGTGTTTGGCATTACTTGCAAAATCCTCCTAGTTCACCCTCTCACCTGATTCTCTCTGATGTCCTGCTAAGTTAGGAAGGGCAAGAGATTATGATCATGTTTTATGATAAACTGAGCACTAGAGAAGTTAGTGACTTGTCCAAGGCCACACGGTTCTGGCATTGGCTTCGTACTTAAGCTCAGTGCTGTCTGACTCAGAGAGAGCATGGGCCACAGAAAGAAGCACTTCTCTGTGGTTTCTCCTCTGGGCCCTCCGGACTCCCAGAGGAAAGGGAATGACAAGAGTAGCCATCTATTGAGTGATGGATATTCCAGGCATTGTGCATTGTGCATTGTCTCATTTCATTTTCACTACTAAATTATAGATTGTTATCTCCATTTCCAGAGGAAATGAGACACACAGGGCTGAAATAATCAGCCCATGAGTATTCAACTTAAGTAGCAGAGCTGATATTCGAACCCAGACCAGACCTAAATGATTTCAAGCTTAACCATCAACTTGTGAAATGACTCAGGAATCACAATCATGTAAATTAGCTGCCAAAGTGCTGAATTGTGGTTGGGTGGGAATTAACACCCCCCACCCCCCCACCCCCCGCCCCTCTGGTTTCACTTACAGGTTTCCCTGTTCAGCGAAGGGGTAAAGGATCCCTACTTAGCTAAGGAGGTTTCTGGGCGCTGTGGCTCGGGCGCCCTCTGCTGGTCAGTCTGTGACACACCAACCAGCCCTCCAGTTTCAGTCTGATTCATTGAACATTTTTTGAGCACCCACTGTGTGCCAGGCATTGTGCTGAGTAGTGGAGGCAAGACATAGCCCTTACCTCAAGGGGCTCACAGTCCAAAGGGAAAGACAGCTCCGTAACCAGGCAACTCAGCACACTGTGATAAGAGTTATACCGGAGGAAACTATGAGGAACTTCAGAGCACACAGAAGGGGCACCTAAGCCAGTTCTGGGGAAGTTAAGGGGACTTCTCAAAGGAAGGTGACATCTAAGCCTGAGAGCATTGTGTCCAGGACCCTGCTGATCTAGTTCCCAGCTGTATCCCCCAAGGTTCTGACCTTAATACCTGGGGCAAAAAGGGACAAGATTGCCCTCTCCCCGGCAAGCATACAAGACCAGCAGCTTAGGGGCGCCTGGGTGGCTTAGTCGTTAGGCATCTGCCTTCGGCTCAGGTCATGATCCCAAGATCCTGGGATGAAGCCCCGCATCGGGCTCCCTGCTCTGCGGGAAGCCTGCTTCTCCCCCTGCTTGTGTTCCCCTCTCGCTGTCTCTCTCTGTCAAATGGATAAATAAATCTTAAAAACAAACAAACAAAAGACCAGCAGCTTGGCCAGAGGGGCTGTTTCAGTGCCATGGGAGAATCCAGCAGCTCTCTCCGACCCCTTCCCAGGGTCCAGCAGAGGAACAATAGAGAAAGAAATGAGGTGGGAGGGCATCCTCCCAGTCCCAGCATAGCAGGGAAGAGCATGGGCAAGTCACTTAACCTCTGTTTTTAATTTTCAAATATGCAAAGAGAAAAAAGCAAATATGTAAAGAGGAGATGGTGGTAGCACCACCTCAGGGGGTTAAATAAACTAAGGCCTAGAAAGGATTTAGCCCAGGCCAAGCACGGTGCCTGTTCAGTTACTGATAGCTTTCAGTACTGCCCTTGAAATCTCTGGGCCCAGCAGTGGGAAGAAACGCCGCCCAGAGCCTGGAGAGTAATCGCCTCTGTATAATTAAATTCCTCTCTTTGGTAAGCTTAACCAGGGAGGGCGCAAGCAGGCTGCGCCCTGGGAAGTCTAGAGCATTTCCTGGGGTTATTTTTCCGGAGAGCAGGACCCAGGCCACAGACAGGGCGGTCAGCTTCTCCTAGTGCATACCCAAGAATGTGCAAGTGCCGGCTGAGTCCCAACACCGTGTTAGGCCGGGGAAGGAAAACTGCAGAGGTGGGACCTTCACTTTTGGGGGACTGAGAAGTTCAGTTAGGCTGGGGGAGATCCAGAAAAGGCCTCCTGGAGGAGGCGCCCTCGAAGAAAATGGAGATGGGAGGGAAAAAAGGAAATCTTCCGTGAGGAGGGCATCGCAGGAGCAAGATCCAGCTCACGGGTTCTCTGAAACTGCCGTGCAGCAGAGGGAAACCTCTGCCCTCTTTACCTTTTCGGTAAAACAAGGTGGAGTGTGCTTCCCACCCGCAGAGCCCCGCCCCTCGGCAGCCCCGCCTCTCTCCCCGCAGGTGCGCAGCGTGGCCGTGACGCACACCTTCCAGATCGCTAAAGCCCGCGCGCAGCTGGGCTACGCGCCAGACAAGTTCCGCTTCGCCGACGTCGTGGAACAATACGTGCGGTCCACGAGCCAGCGGCCCTGCGGCTCTTCGGCGCGGACACTCCTACGGCTGCTGCTCGGGCTGCTGCTGCTGCTCGGGCTGCTCGCCCTGGCCCTGCACCTGCTAGGCCTGCAGCCGTCCTTCGTCTGAAGTTCGTCACTGGCCGGAGTCGGCTCCTGCCTCTCCTCCATCTTCCGGGCTTGCCCCGCCCATTTCCCCGCCCACACCCCGCCCTCTGGGCTTGGACCCGCCCCTGGATCTTGACTCCGCCCCTGTCCTGCCTTCCGGGCTTGGGCTCGCCCCCGTGCCCTTGCTCCGCCCACACCCCGCCCTCTGGGCTTGATCCCGCCCCCTGGATCTTGACTCCGCCCCAGTCCTGATCTCCGGGCCTGGGCACGCCTCTGCTCCGCCTCTTGAGCCATGGCCCCGCCTTCTGGGTCTTGGCCTGGCCGGGTTACTGAGCAGGTAGCCGCACAGCCTCGTCCGCCTTCCCGGCCTTCACCCCCCTCTCTGCCCCGAATTCTCCCCTGCTCTGGTTCCGCCCTCTTTCTGGCCGGATCGGTAGGATTGCGCCCTCCCCTTCGTTTCTCCTTCCGACTGGCGCTGCTCCTCCCTCTGGATCTGGTCCCTCCCCTCTTCTAATTGTAATTCGGCAATAGCCCCGCCCTCTCCCTCTCAGTCCCCGCCCCTCTCCAGCCACGCCTCCTAGGTGAGTTCCTGGGGCCTGGCCGGAGTCGTTTCTAGAGGCCAAGTGCAGGTCTGTTTGCCGTTTTCCCGGTCTGCTGCTGCCTCTCTAGGGACACTGGACCCTCCTCGCCGCTCAGGCTCCTCTGTGCTTGTCCTGAGATCATCTTGAGATGTTGGAATAGACTCATTCTAGGAGAATTGCCTTTGATCTGCTGCTACCTTAATGTTTTGGGTTCACTCAGTCATGCATGTCTCCCTGTGTGTTGATAGTCAGGGTTGGAGGGTCACCTGAGACCCAGGCTTCTGCCTAACCCAGCCTAGCCTTTTTGGGTTTCCGGCTTCCTAGCCTGGGGCTGACTTAGTAAGCACAGGCTTCTGTACCAGCAAGGATCTAAACCAAAACAAAACTTTTTAAGGTGGTCAAAAGGTATAAACTTCCAGTTATAAAATAAAGAGGTCATGGTGATGTAATGGTGACTATGGTTAATAATACTATATTATATATGTGAAAGTCGCTAAGAGAGTAGATCTTAAAAATTCTCCTTAAAAGAAAAAATTGTAACTATGTCTTGATGGATGTTAACTAGACGTGATCATTTCACAATATATACATAAATCATTATGTACATCTGAAATTAATATTATGTGTAAGTTATATCTCAAAAAATAACTTTTTAAAGAACTGGACCTTTTGAAAAAGTACCAATATAATGGGAAGAGTTAGACCTTATTTTGGTCCTATTTTATAATTTCATATTTCTTCTACTTGTTAATAAGGGGGCAGTGGTGATCACCATAATCTTTAATGTTTAAACCCACAAAATTTCTTAATCGAGCCTTGCTTTCCACAGAAACACCCCTTCCCATTGTCTTGGTATGAATTATGAGTACGAGGCTATCAGTGGGTAAACATATCCATGTAGATATCATAATGTGCACACGCACATTATGGCAGAGAAGAAAACCATCACAAGCCTAACAACACCTGTGGCGGAGGGGAGTGAATGTGTTAGAGCCAACATGGCCATCCCCAGTGTATCCCTCTCTGCGAAACAATTAAGACAGTTTGGGAAGCAACTGAGAAGTGCATGCTCCCCTTTGCTCGGTTAAACTGCATGTGTGCATATAATTTTTTAAAAGCTCAGTGATAATCCTTTATGTCTGTTTAATGCTTGACAGTTTGAAAGGGCTTTCATCTATCTGCTTTTATTTAATTCTTAGGGCCACCCTTACAGAAGGGTTTATTGTTCCCATTGCATAAATGAGGAACTTGGGGTTATATCTAACTTCGAAGTGGACGACGTGGGGGTTCCTCCTCTGCAGCTGGAGTCATTTGGAGGAGCTGCCCAAGGCTCAAACACCACACTCAGTGATGTCTGCTCTTCTGCATCCCAGCCATGTCAGGGCTTCCTTTGAGCTCTGGCATCTACCTTGGGCCATTTGGGGCCGGCAGCCCTTGGGCTCCCTTTCTTCTCAGTACGCACGTGCCTCTAAACTCATTACCTTATTCTCTATTGAGACCTAACCTCTCAATTTCAGAACTTGGCTTCTGGCACACAGTAGACCTTTCTATCAATCCTGAGAAATCTGTGCTCAGGGCACGGAACACAGGCTTTACTATCCACATAATCTTCTACATCTTTTGTCTTCTGCCAAAACACAGCTTTCAAAAAACAAAAGAAGGATCCCTTTCTTTGTTTTCTGGATTTCTCTGAGTCCTCGCTTTCCCTAGCTACACTCTGGGCCTGGGGGCAGTGTGGGTCACTCTGCCAAGAAAGCTTCCCTCCTTTCGTGTGTCTTGACCCACTGGAAAAGGAGTCCACTTTGTCCACCCAACGGACAAACGGAGTTCCCATGAGGACTTTAGAGGCTGCCCAGGTAACCAGCCCTCCGTGCATGAGGTTCTGAGAGAAGAAGGAGGTCCTAGCTTACTTGGAAACACTGAGTAGAAGCAATGTGAATGCAGAAAACAGAGCTGTCACTGTGGGCAGCCAATCGAATGGACCGTCAAGGTGAATTCATAAGTTTCCCACTGTGGGTGCTGAAACTATTCCCTGTTGTAGACCCAAGGCTGGGTGTCTAAAATATCCTCCAGGGCGCCTGGGTGGCTCAGTCGTTAAGCGTCTGCCTTCGGCTCAGGTCGTGATCCCAGGGCCCTGGGATGGAGCCCTCCATCAGGCTCCCAGCTCCACGGGAAGCCTGCTTCTCCCTCTCCCTCTTCCACTCCCCCTGTGTCTCTGTGTCAAATAAATAAATAAAATCTTTAAAAAAAAATAAATAAAATAAATAAAATAAAATATCCTCCAGTCTCAGAGTGCCTGGCTGGCTCAGTGGGAGGAGTGTGTGACCTTTGACCTCAGGGTTGTGGTCTCAAGCTCCATGTTGAGTATAGAGATTACTAAAAAATAAATTTAAAAAATATCCTCTAGTCTCTCTCATCTTAAAAATATTCCCCCGAGTCCCCATTTCCTGTCTCAGTGCTGCTCCTTTGGTTCTCCCCCCTTCTCAAAATCAAATTTTGTGATGAGTTGTCCACACTTACGTTCATTTCTTCTCTTCAACTCATTCAAAATGGCTTTTTAAAAAAGATTTTATTTATTTACCTATTTATTTGAGAGAGAGAGAAGGAGAGAGAGCAAGCCGGGGGTGGGGGAAGCAGAAGGAGAGGGACCAGCAGACTGCGCTGAGCAGGAGCCCAACCCGGGAGTTGATCCAACAACGCCGAGACCGTGACCTGAGCCAAAACCCAGAGTCAGACGCTTGACTGATTGAGCCCCCCAGGTGCCCTCAAAATGGCTTTATTCGGGGTCATCAATGACCTTGTCCACAAATCGTATCCAATGGATATTTTTCAGTCTTTATCTTGCCAAGCCTCTTAGCAGCGTTCAACATACTCCCTCTACTCCCTCTTCGCAATACTCTTCTTGGCCTATCGGACACCACCGCTGTTTTCCACGTGTCTCTGACCAGCCTTTCTCTGTCCCCTCTCTCCCACTGCCCTCCCTTTAAGACGACGTTCCTCAGGACTCTGTCTTGGCCCCTTGCACACTTCCTGAGCAAGTCCGTCCATTCCCGTGGCCTCAGTCTCCACCACCTCCCAAAGCTGTATCATTTGTTCAGTGTCCCCTTGACCTCCAGACTTCTGTGTCCAACCTCCTACTCAAGTCCATGTCCCACATCTCAAACTCATTGTGAATCAAATTGAATCATCTTCTCCACGAACTCCTCTTCATCCTGCGTTCCCTCCTAGGGAGAGGAGAGGCACCCCCAGTGCCACCAGCCAGTGGCTCAGGTCCCAAACCTGGTCATCACTTTTGACATGTTCTTCACATCCTCATCAGGGAGTTCTCTCAGATCACTTCCAAAATTTCTGTCTGACCAACCCTTTGTGTCCTACCCACCATCATAACCGTGGTATAAGCCACTCTCCTTTCTCCTAGACAGCTGCGGTAGACTTTGAATGGACCCTCCTCTTCCCGCTGCCAGAGGGAACTTTCTAAACCCAAAATTGGAACACGCCACCCTCCCACTTAAGACCTTTTGATGGTTTCCCATTGCCCTCAGGATGAAGTTCAAAGCCTCAACGGGGCCTTCAAGACCCTCCTTGCCTAACAGGTCAGCCTCATCTCTTGCCATTAGTCCGTCCATGCTGCTCTCTGCTCAGCTGCCCTGAATTGACTTCAGAGTATCTCAAACACACCAGGCTCTCATCTGCCGCTAGGATCTTCCACATGCTGTTTCTCTTCCTGGGACTCCTCTCTCCCACCTTCGCAGACCTAACCTCTCAATTTCAAGTCCCAGCTAAATGTCACCTCCTCGGTTGACCCTGAGCCAGGTTAGCACGCACTTTAGAAGACTCCTCACAGGTGTAATTTGAAATTACGGCAGCTGTAAAAACTGAGTGAGTAGACCTGCCTGCCTTGTGTGTTCTGTAGCCTCGGGGGAACTTGGCTTCTGGCACACAGTAGACCTTTCATACATAGTTATTGATAAATAAATAGATGAGAGGCCCCTGAGCCAAGCCTGAAGACCAGCTATGAGATGGATCAATGAAGCTGGGACTCCAAGGTTGCTAGCCCTACGTGGGGCAGGCCCTCTGATGCCCCAGCCTTTCTGTAGGGTCACCTGACATGCTTCTACCAACAGAGGTTTGTGGAGTCAGCTGGGGCTCTCTGTAGGACAGAGGGGGCTGGAAAGGAACCTTCCCTATTGGAAAGGAATCCCTCCCAATTATGACCTAACTCAAGTCATAATTAAAATCAGCCCACCTAACGTTTGTCTTTGCAGGGTAACGAGGTCTGCTCCCTGTGGCCTCCAGCCCTGGAGCATTAAATTAAAGATGTAGGCAGTCTGCTGGAAACAAAGTTATCTCAGATGCTTTTCCCTTGGAAATAAGGAGACGCTTCTGGTTTTGTTTTTTAGGTAGCCAGATTGGTGGGTTTGTGCACAGAAGAGGGCCTGGGCTGTGGTTTCTGCCTTCTTCCATTTGCACTCCATTTCCTTTTTTTTTTTTTTAAAGAGCGTAAGAAAAGAGCAAAAAGGAAGAGGCTTTGGGAGAGGATGACAAACAAATTGAAGAGTTCAGGAAAAGTGAAACCATCAAGGGTGTGGCAGCGGTGGGATTCGAACCCACGCCATCGAAATGACTGGAGCCTAAATCCAGCGCCTTAGACCACTCGGCCACGCTACCGCCCGCTCCGACAGTTTCCGCTGCAACTATATTAGTTTAATGACGTGGCGTTTCACGCTCCGTGGCCCCACCCTCTTGGGTTTGCGCATGCCCAATACGCGCCAAGTGTTTCTTGCGCTTGTTAAGGCGTCTTGGTCCGTAGATTCCTTCTGCGTCTTGGAATCACGGTACTTTTTTGATCGGCAGCAAAAACTACGGTCGGAACGCAGCACTAAAAAGGAAAGAAGAGTTCCCAGCTGTTAAACATTAATATGCAGTCCTCACGTGTGTGTGCATTGGATTTGCCGTGTGCGTCGTATACTGTCTGCGGCCACGTGGGGGCGGTACCGCGCTGTCCCTGCCTCCCTTTCGGGGCTGGGGGTCCCACGGGGAACCTTGCTCTGCACAGAACCTGCCTGGGTCCCCATCTTACGGACTCGCCATCCCTACTCCAAGTCAGCTGTGCAAGCCCTGGGTGGCCCCGTGGTTTGGTCCCTGCCACCGCGAGGTGAGAATCACCGGTCCAGGTGAATGTTGTTACAATGAATGTTGTTACGGATTATTAGCATGTTGGGCTCCCTCAAAAGTACTTCTTGTCTGCATAGTAGGAAGGGAGAAACTAAAGTGCAGAGAGGCTAAGTGACTTGTCTCAGATGCCCCAGGACCCAAGATTCCCCTCCCAAGACCCAAGACCCAAGACCCAAGACCCTTCCAAGACCCAAGTTTCCCCTTCTGTGCAGGCTATTTTAGGGTTTTCGGTTTTTAATGCAATGAATACGGAGCAAATATACAATACGTAAGTACATAGCAAATTTCTATCTCCCATCACCCCAAATTAATTGTTAACATTCTGTATATTTGCTTCAAATGTTCTTTAATAAAAAATACACTGAACCCTATATATAGATAAGATTCAAGTCTCTTTTGATACCTCAAGTTCTATTCCCCTTCCTCCTTCCTCAGGAGTCTTAGATCCGTTTAGTCCACTTTTTTCTAATTTTACGTACTCTTAGGCGTATCCATTTCCTTGCATGTTTAAGGAAAATAACAAAAATACAGTATAACAAAGATACGCAGGTGGTGTGGTAAGCTGAAATACCCCCCAAAGATGTCCACATCCAAATCCCCAGAGCCTGTATGTTACTTTATGTGACAAAAGGGACTTTGTTAGTGTAATAAAAGATCTCGAGATGGGGAGATTATTCTGGACTATCCAGGTGGACCCAGTATAATCAAAAGGGTCCTTAGAAGAGAGACACAGGAATCAGAGAAGATTTGAAGACAGAAACAGAGGTCCTCAGTGATACCGCCACAGACCAGGGAATGCACTAGAAGCTATAAAAGATAAGGACGCAGTTTCTCCCCTAGAGCTTACGAAAAGGAACACAAGTGCTTGACACCTTGATTTTCAGCCTTCTGCCTTCCAGAACTATAAGAGGATTGTGTTGTTTTAATCCACTAAATTTGTGGAAAATTGTTACAGCAGTCATTAGAAACCAGTACGGTGGATAAACCAGCCCATGGGGTTGGGAATCACACAGCCTGAGCCTTGACTAGCTGCTCTCCCTGGGCCTGTTATTCATCCCTGTAATGGGGTGATAATAATACCCACCTCACAGGATAGCTGTGAGAATCAGATTCATTCATTCTGCAGATATTCCTTGGGCACCTGCCGCAGGTCAGGCACTCTTCTGGGCACTTGGCTACACTGGAATGAAAGCAGAGGAAGATTGAACGTGGTAATGTATGTCGTGCACTTAAAAGATTTTTATTATTTATTTGACAGAGAGAGAGCATGAGCAGGGGTGAGGAGCAAGGGGAGAGAGAGAAGCAGGTTCCCCCCTGAGGTGGGGAGCTGGATGTGGGACTTGATCCTAGGACCTTGGGTCATGACCTGAGCCAAAGGCAGATGCTTAACCCACTGAGCCACCCAGGTGCACCCTGTGTCATGCACCTGGGATGTGGTAGTGGTGACTCCAGGGACCTAAGCTCTCCTCCCAGTACTGCAGTATGCTCACCACCAGAGTTCTTGCCTGGGTGCTGACCACTTGGTGGTATTATTCCACGTACTTCTCCCTACCCCTGCCTTAAGCAGGTGTTTGAGTCTCTCCCAGGACCATACTGGGCCCTGCTAGAATGTCACCTCCAGATTGTGTCTTGTTCACCCAAGGTTATATCTCCAGGACCTAGAACAGCACTGGCCACAAGACTCCTCCTCATACTGGTGGTTTTGCATGCATCACTCCATCTTGCTACGTGGGCCCAGACAAAGTCAGAGGCAAATGCTTCTTGCTGGAGCTGCCCAACACAAGAGCTCCAAGAACTTTTGTCTGGACGTGGCCAAACTGTGGTCTTTTCTTCTGGAAGATCACCTGCAGCCTCAAGCAGGAAGCTGAGACCTATTTAGGATTCCCCCCATCATGACTCAGCATTCTCCTATAGTTGGGCCATGTGCTGGGAGCAAACTTCCCCCACCCCAACTCTCTCTGATAATTTAATTCAAGTGAACATTAATCCTGCACCTACTAGGCCTGATCAGCCAAAGAGCAGGTCTTCTAGGAGAAGGAGAGCTGCTTCCAGAGCTGCCCAGAACCCTCATGCCAAAAATCCAGTGGGAGCAAGGCCGTGAGCTCATCTGCTCCACTGAGCATTTCTCTCCCGGCCTGTCTGACTTCCCACGGACGTGCTGGCTCAGCTTCTCCGGGGATTGATGTCTTCAAGGGTGCTGTTTGGGAGAGGGCAGCTTCTGTGCAAAGCCAGCCCCAGTCAGGCAAGGGAGGGGAGGCCACCGAAACCAAAGCAACTGGACTGTTTCGTTTTGGGGTTCTGTTTCATTTGGTAAAAGTTTGGGTTTTGAAGTGACATTTAAAAATAACCTTTGCAAAAGTAATACATGTTCCTTGTTGAAACTTGCGCAAAGAAGGAGAAGCACAAATAAGAAAACAAAATCACCTTTAATTTCTCCACCTAGTTAAACTCTGTCAACACTTTAGTAAAGGAAGGTGCTTTTCGTCTGTGTAAATTTGAAATGTAGGGGCACCTGGCTCGTTCAGTCAGTAGAGCGTGCACCTCCGGATCTTGGGGTTGTGGGTTTGAGCCCCACGTTGGGTGCAGATATTACTTAAAAATGAAATTTAAAAAATAAATAAATTGGAAATGTAAGGCATCCCCATTGTAAATTTTTTTTCAAACGTCATATCACATGTATAAAGTGGAAGGGGAATTCTCTCCCTGTCCTTCACAACGGACTCCCACAGCTCACAAACACCCACTGTAAAGAGTAATCTTGAGCTGTCCTTCTGGATCTTTTCCTAGGCAGATGTATGGGCAAACGCCTCACTCTGATCTTGGGATTTGCTTTGCAGAACAAAGGGAGAAATGCACCACCCAAAAGACACAAGTGTGGTCATTTCATAACTTCTGTGAGTCTTTCTATAGCTACACACAGGCCATTTGATGGTTCTGTGATGCGCATCACTTTTTATGCCTTGTAGACCTGGGACCTGAGCCAAGGAGGTGAGCCAAGGAGGACTTCCAAGCTGCTGCTTTAAAGCATCTCACTGTGGTTCCCAAGAGCTTGGGGTGGGGGTGACGAATAGTTGGGAGACAGGACTTTTAGGGCCAAGAAACTACTCTCTATGATACTACACGATGGATACATGTCATTATACATTTATCTAGACTCATGGAACATACCACACCAAGAATGAACCTTAATGGGTGGTAATGTGTCAGTGTGGGTTCATCAGTTGTAACAAATGTACCACTCTGGCGGGGGACACTGATAATGGGGAGGCTGTGCCTGTGCGGGGACAGGGGAGATATGGGACGTCTCTCTACCTTCTGCTCAATTTTGCCATGAACGTGAAATTGCTCTATAACCCCTATGGACACGGCCTCCTGTGGACAGATGGACCTGAGCAGTGAACACCTGAGACCCATTTCCCTTCGGTGGCCTATGTGGCTAGTGTGGTTCCCCATCCCTGTAAGAGCCTGTAGGAAGATTATACCCATCTCCTTGAAGTTGGGAATCAGCACGTGTCGGTGACAGGGCCGGTGCGCGTAAGAGCTGGGGTACTGCTTCTGGTGACCTTTCCTCTGCTGCCACACCGCCAGGCTCTGGGGTGAGATGGAGACTACATGAGTGCTTTTTGGGGGGGCTTAGCAGCTTTAATGTGATATAATTCACAGACCGTACAATATACCC